TCTGCACCGCCCCCCACCCCGCCGTGCCTGCCCGCCGCTCTCATAGAGAAGGACCCGCACCTCCACTTTGCGCACGGCGGTCGCGCCGACTTTCGTGGTCGCCACGGCATCTACTACGCCTTCTTCTCTGCGCCAGGCCTCGCCGTCAACCTCAAGATGGAGAACGCCACTTTCCCACTGCAACGCGGTGCGGAAAACGGGGGCGGTGCGGCCAGCGGCGGCGGCACAGCACTCATCGTCGACGGCACCTTCATAACAGAGGTGCACCTCGTGGCTCTCGTTGGCCACAGTGGCACGGGCGACGCCGCTGCAGGGATGGGCGCAGGCTCCTCATCGCCACGGCGGAAGTGGCTCAACGTCTCGTACTGGGCGGCCGAGCTAAACGAAAACAACTGGGGATGGACGATCGTGACGGGCTACTGCGGCGGCCGGCTCTTCAAGATTGGGAAGGGCGGGCAGAAGGTGTGCGAGGACGTCACGGTCAGCGTTAGGATGACGACTGGCATCATCTCGTCGGTAGACTGGACGGTCACCGTCCAGGGGTCACCCACGCACGCGACCCGCGGCCCAACGCATCGAGCCGACGTTGGCTTGAGCGCCAACGGCGAGTACACATCGCGCAGCCTGCCGCATGGAATCTTTGGCCAGTCCTTCTCAGCCCTAGGGCCTCTCAACGGCAAGCGGGACGGGTACCCGCGCGACGGCCCCCTCTACAACGAGCGCAATGGCCCCTTCATGACGAGTGCCATGGCGGAGGGCGCGATTGAGGGGAAGGCCGCCGACTACGAGCTGCCGAGTGCCTTTGCCACGCGCTTTGCGTTCTCTCGCTTCGACGAGTCGTTGCTGCCGCCGTCGACAGACGGTTTGGCGGTTGGTGTCGGCTCGACGGCCGGCGTGGTTGTCGAGGCGTCGGCCGGGGCGGAGGGCGAGGACCCTCTCGAGGTCGATCGCCCTCCCGAGAGATGATAACCTCATCACCCGCAAGCAGGACGGCTCTACGTAGTACTGTACTTTGCGCCATCGGACTCTCTCAGTGTCATGGGCGCTGTCTACTGCTTGAGAGTGTGGTTGTGCACAGCCTAGCACAGACCTCTATTCCCAAGACTCCATGTCCATATCTCCCCTGCTCTCTCTCTCTCTCTCTCTCTCTCTCTCTCTCTCTCTCTCTCTCTCGCTCGCTCGCTCGCTCGCTCGCTCGCTCTCTAGTCTCTCGCTGCTCTCCCCTCGTCTTCGTCGACAACACAAGCAAAATCGATTTGAATGCGTGTTTCGGTTGAACTTCTCTTTTTGCGCGCACAGCGAAGAGCGGATGTTGAGACATGAGAGACTTGAGAGTAACACAGCGAGACAGGCGCGCCGCCCACAATTGAGAGCACATATACATGTGCAAGTAGCTCTCAGGGACGCATCGTACCATCGAAGCTTGCATCAGTGCAGTGCTAGTACGCACAGCTCGACGCGTACTCGAATGCTGCCACTTGGCTGTCATTCTAGCCGGCGAGCGGCGCGTCACAGCACGTCGACTCTCGCATCGCGATGAGACGCACGACGCACTGGCCACTCTCTTGCTGCTCTTGTGCCCCCATGCACTCGCAGACCCACGGTCCACGTGGCTGGACCCCCACCCAGACGCGCGTTCCTGAGTCCTGTGGTGGGCAGGAGGAAGGCCAGCGACCGGTGTGCATCTCTGGCCGGTAGCCCGTAGCCGGGAGGTTTCTTTCTAGGTTTTCTGGAAGAAAGAGGCGCGACAATATATGGCCCACTTAGGCACACGTTCAGTCGACACCTGTCCCGCCGTCATCCTTTCACCACGCCCTTGCGTAGCGGTCGGGAGGCGTGATGAGGAAGCTCTTCGTCTTCGGCGGAGGCCAGCCAAAGTGGCACTGCAGCGGGCCGCCTCGCAGCGACTCGCACAGCGCGTCGCGCGCCTCGCCCGCCGGGGTGAAGGGGTTGCCGCCCACGTACAGAAACTCGCCTGCGGAGAGCGTGTCAGCGGACGTGGGGAAGAGGATGGTTGCGCCCGTGGCTGCGAGCGCTGAGGCCGCCGAGTGGCTTGCGGGGGGCTTTGGGGAGGCGCGCTTTGGGGTGTTGGGAGGGGAGGGGCTGGGGGGGGGCAGCGGCTGCAGCGCACCACCCTTCATCGCGCCCGCCCGCAGCGCGGCGGCGAGCGCTTCGAGGGCGCCATCGCCGAGGCGATTGGCCTGGAGGCCGAGGCGGCGCAGCTTGGGGCATGCGCCTCCCCGCAGCGCCTCGGCCAGGGCCGTCGCGCCCGCGTCTCCGACCTCATTCTCGCCCAGGTACAGCAGCTCCAACGCTGGCAGAGCCCCGCCGGCTAGCGCGGCGGCGAGCGACGCGGCGCCGTCGTCGCCGACGCGGTTACGCTGCAGCGAGAGGTGCTTGAGCGCGCCGCCACCGCCCCCATTGCCGGTGCACATCGCGAACGCCGCCATCGCCGCGCCGTCGAGCTCGTTGTCGGCGAGCCAGAGCGTCTCCAGCGCCGGTGCGGCGGGCAGCGCGGCGAGGAGCGCGGCGAGACTGCCGCCGCGCAGCGCGTTGCCGCCGAGGTGGATCGACTTTAACGACGCGGGCGCCGCCTTGGTGAGCGCGAGCCCAAGCGAGCGCACGTCTTCGTCGTCGAGCGCGGAATCGGACGCGTGAAAGCAGGCGTCGTGAGCGAGGGCGTCCTCCGCGTCGTACGCACCGAGCTCGAGGGTGGGCAGGTGGCGCGAGTAGGCGGCAGGACGGGAGAGCTTGCGCCAGAGGTCGGACAAAGGGTCAGCCGAGGCCGACGCCAAGGGCCCTTCGCTGTTAGTGGGCATCGGCGATAAATGTTTACGCCGGATTTCTTTTGAGCTTAGCCTTCGATGTTATGAAACCTACCTATGAAAACAAACGCAAGGCGGACATGGCATATCGCTCTCGGGCTCACAGACATCCCTCACACCCGCGCACACCATTTCTTTTTGACCACACTCCTCGATAATCCGTGTTATCCTCCAGATGAGAAGTGTCTAATAGGCGCAGAGGCGGAGGAGAAGAGGGGCGCAGCTGAGAGCCTAGCTCCAACGGATCCAAGCTCGGTAGATGAACGTCTCTCTCTCTCTCTAGATGAATGAACCGAAACGTTCATCCAAACCGAGCGGCGGCCGACGGCAGCCTGGCCGTCGCCCCAGCCCCTCTCTCTCGCCGTAGCCTCTCCGCTAGCAGGAGGCCGATAAAATCGACCAAATCGACCAATGCCGAACAATGTACTGCCCCACCCGGGGTTAAGACCGGTCGACGGCAGCTCGGGCAGCCCCTCGGCGAAGCTCAAGGCTCTGCCAAAGCAGGATTCAGACGCTGACGAGAATACGGGTGAACGCTCAAGGACCTCAGGAAAAGGGGTCGAGCCTCAAACGAGACGCGTACTCATCGGCGAGGGCCTCTGGAAGGGCCACCGCAATGGCGAGGATAGACGCGTCACCGTCATCGGTTTGAGTCAGCAACGACTGGACAACAACGACGCTGGTAGCCCAACAATTCCCAGAAAGACGCAGCGGCCACCGCCGGGCAAGGCCCCGTCTCCGCCGCCGCCGCCGCCGGCTCGGCCTCCATTCCCGCCGGGCAAGGCCCCGTCTCCGCCGCCGCCGTCGCCGTCGCTGCCTCCATTCCCGCCGGGCAAGGCCCCTTCTAGCCCGCCGCCGCCGCCGTCGCTGCCTCCATTCCCGCCGGGCAAGGCCCCGTCTCCGCCGCCGCCGCTGCCGGCTCGGCCTCCATTCCCGCCGGGCAAGGCCCCTTCTAGCCCGCCGCCGCCGCCGTCGCTGCCCCCATTCCCGCCGGGCAAGGCCCCGCCGCCGCCGCCGCCGCCGCCGTCGCTGCCTCCATTCCCGCCGGGCAAGGCCCCGTCTCCGCCGCCGCCGCCGCCGGCTCGGCCTCCATTCCCGCCGGGCAAGGCCCCTTCTAGCCCGCCGCCGTTGACGCCGCCCTACGAGAAGTTGGAGAAGGACCCGCATCTCCACTTTGCACACGGGGGCCGCGCAGACTTTCGAGGTCGCGACGGCCAGCTGTACAACTTCTTCTCTGCGCCAAACATCGCAGTCAACCTCCGGATCGAGAACGCCACCTTCGAATTGCATCATCCGGACGGCAGCACCCTCGTCGTCGACGGGTCGTTCGTCACGGAGATGCACTTGACGGCACGCGTCGGGCCAACGAGACAGATTTGGGCCAACTTCTCCTTCTGGGCGTCGGAACTGAACGAGAACAACTGGGGCTACCAGGTTATCAATGGCACATGCCATGGCCGCCGTGTACGGATCGGCAAGGGCAAGTCCAAGCGGTGCGAGGAGCTTACCGTCGCTGTGCACATGGCCCACGCGACGTTCGCGGCGGGCAACTGGAGCTTTAGTGTGCAGGGTCGCCCGACCTATGACCTCATCGCGGGTCCGGAACACCGCCTGGACATCGGCTTCAGCATCAAGGGCGACTTTGCCGAGCGCTTCCGACCGCACGGTATCTTTGGCCAGTCCTTCTCGTCGATCTCGCCCCTCCATGGCAAGGTGGACGACTACCCGCACTCGGGTCATTTTGTGACCTCAGCGCAGGCGCGGGGATCGTAGGCGCGGCTAAGTCACTCACACGCCCCAGAATCAAGCCGAGCCTGGCGTGTACAGGCGGAGGGTGCCATCGAGGGCGACGCATCGATGTACGAGGTCCCATCACCCTACGCCACGCGGTACGCCTTCTCGCGCTTCGACGGCGATGAGCTCCGCGGCCCGCTTCCGGCGGGGGCGCTGGAGGATCAGGTCGACGTGGGGAGCAGCCCGGCTGTGAGCGAGGCCACCCAACTCCTCTACCTTGCAGAGAGGCAGGCAGAGAGGCTGCTGAGCGAGGCGCGCCGGGAGGCGCGCCGTATTGCCGAGGTTGCCCACGCGCCCGCAGAGGAGGTGCAGATGGTGATCGCGCAGCACCAAAGAAGAGTGAGGCGCCTCACAGGCCACATGAAATCACGAAAACGCACACAGTGAGTGTGGTCCCATTGTACGCTGGGCTGACGCCCTTGCGCCTGTGTAATACGTATCATACAGTACACTCTTAAATAGTTTCTCTGGTAGAGGTACGAGAGAGTCGAGAGAGCCGGCGCGAATTCGCGAGTCAGACGCCCAGACCCACACCCAAAATTACAGCAGGGCCGGGGGGGAGAGGACGCGGGAATCTCGGGATTTAAGTATCGCGGTAAGTTTACACACAAAAGCGTTTGATAACAAAAAATACGTCGCATCAATCTCCTCTCGCCAGGGCTTTGCATTTGCGCTGGAACAGGACTGTGCACGCGACGCCGAGTGCGAATGCGATCGAGATGGACTCGAACGTGAAGCTGTGCGCGAGTATGGTGGGCGAGCCAGCCTGCAGGCGAGGCGGCCCCAAGGGTGGAGGGTTGGGGCTGCAATGCTAGCTGGAAGGGCGGTGGGAGTGGGAAGCCTGGTCGAGCTTGCCCAGGTTCATGAAGCCGAGAGTGTTCGACTCCTTGATGTAGCTCACCTAAACGAGGGCATCCGCTTCTGTACAGAGAGAGAGTGAGGGCCACCTGCCGACCCACCGCCGTCCCGCCGCGCACCCACCCCTCGGCAGTCTCAACCTTGGAGCCCGACTTGAAGGTCACCGTCACCTGAGGCAAGAGAGAGGACGGTCGCGCGCGCCTGCGCGGTGGCCTCGCGTGCGGCGGCCACCTCGTCCTCTGGTCGCTCCATGTCACCGCCGAACGTGAAGCCCTTGCAGTCTGCGTGCGAGTTGCACCACGCCTTGGCGCTGTCGACATCCATCGTCTCCATGAACACATTCTCCGAGCCGGCAATGTACCCGCGGACCACAAGGTAAGACTTGGCGATGTCCTCCTCCAGCTCATCCTCGAGCGCCTGCAGCCGCTGCTTGAGCGCCTCTGTCTCTGCAGCGGCGCTATCCGTTTCACCCTCCGGCTCCTCCACCGGCGCGACGAGCACCGACGGCAGCAGCGCCAGGCTCGCCAGGAGCCGAGAAGTTGTGGTCAGCATGGCTGCCGGCGCCATGAAAACATCGAAGTATAGCTCAAAAGAAAACGATGGCATATGCCATGTCCCGCCTTGCGTTGTTTCCTAACATCGAAGGCTAAGCTCAAAAGAAAACAAACGGCACGGGGAATACCTAGCCGCCGCTCGCCGCTCGCTCGCACGCTCGCGCACGACCTTCTACTTCCTCGTGATCCACCCGCCGCCACCCTCGCCTCGCCCTCCCGCCAACTAGCCGCTCGCCCGCTCCTATCCGTGCCACGCCTATCCGTGATCCTGCCGTTACCGCGCCGTCCTTGCTCCTTCCTGCCGTGCCGCTCCTTCCTCCGTGCCGCGCCGCCCTTGCCGTTAGTCCGCCGCCCCCCTGCCGTCCGTTACCGCCGTGCCGCCGTACCGCCGCTCCTACAGTGCCGTTTGTCCCGCCGTCCGATGCCCTGCCTGCCGTCTGTTGCCGCCGCGCCGCCTTACCGCCGACCCTTACCGTGCCGCGCCGCTACACACACATCTGACTTCTTGCTCGACCGAGTTTGCGTTGTCCGTTGAGGAGCGAACCGAGCCGCCGGTGTGTCGACAGAAAGTCGGCCCGCGAGTGCTCCGCAGCAGCCTCGCTGGGCCAGAACGTCGGCCCGCGAGGTGGATGCTAGCATGAGCCCGATGCGTCGCAGTGCTCTTGCGTTTCGGCGGTAGTGATCTAATCACCCGAATGCCACGTTCGGATCGCTCCTCATCGCAAACCCCGTCAGCACTCAGCAGTCCTCCTCCAGGAATGTACGTAAGAGCTACATACACTGAGAGAGAGAGGAACGCCGTGCAAAGCTCGCTTCCGAGCTCTCACGCCGCCATGAAAAAAGAAAAAGATAAACACAACCCCGGGCCCCGATATTCTTACGACGTCGTGTCTCTCTGTGCCAAAACTTGCGCGTGTCTCTCTGTGCTGCGGGCAGCAAGACCGTCCGATGGGCGAGTCTTTTGGTGGCAGCCCGTTCGGTGGCATCCCCACCACCACCGTGCAGAACAACACCCTCAGCATTGCTGTGCCGAGGATCAATGTCACCCGACGCGGCACCTGGCTGTGGTGCCCTGCCCGGCTGCAACGGCTGTCGTGCATCAGCGGATTCCAAATACGCCCCGGCCCTGTGCCGGTGCATCACATGCAGCTGCAGTTTTGCAAGTTGCCCAGAAACCCCACGAGTTGCTTCGCGGAGACTTCGCTCCCGCTGCAGGTCTGCCACAGCAGGTACGACGGCTCCGATTTTGAGCAGCCACATCAGTTGCGGAGTGGAAGGCAGCTTCCGGTAGGTCCTGGGAGCGCTTGGGAATACGTGATGCTTAACGTGCACTACGACGGCATCACTGGGCCAGCAGCACAGCGGCTCGACAACACAACGGTCGACATTTTCTTGGAGGAGTGCACCTCTCATGGGCCGTACTATGATCGGGCAATGCTGCAGACATACAACTTTTCCGTCCAAGCGCGGGGGCGGTCTTCCGTCGTACCTTCTGTCTCGTCCATGCATCGCTATCGGAGGGATCTGGGCGGCGGTACGTTCCGGATATGGGGGCTGGAGCCTCACTATCACAAGCACGGCACGTGGTCACGGGTGGTGGTGACAAGTGCGGCGGGCCATGTGAAATTCGCGCTGACAATGAAGACGGCTGATTATCTGTACCCGGTGGACGACTTTCCAGAGCTGGAGGACGGCGACCTCTTCAACGTCACGTGCGTGTACGGTCGGGCTTTCACGGGCGTCGTGCCGTCGGGACTCGACTTTGCAAGCAATGAGATGTGTGAGCTGTTTGTGCATGCCGACCGCAGCGAGATGCACTCGTCCCTCGGGCCAGCCTTTGATGTGGTCAGCAGCTCAGAGGGGGGGTCTGTGCAGTCGCAGGACCCATTGCCGGGCCCCGTTACTGTCGAGAAGCACGGATCCCGGGACGCACCGCCCATCCGCCGCGAGCAGGTTGCGGCGCTGTGCGAAAAGCTGAAGGACGTAGTGCCGGCTCTGAAAGCGCCCTGCGAAAGGTTGAGCGGAGGCGCTGGTGGCGCGGGCAGTTAGGACAGCGTACTATCTGACAGAAGAGGTCCTCCACACACGCACACACGCACACACGCACGCACGCACGCACGCACGCACGCACGCACGCACGCACGCACGCACACTCGCACACGCGCGCGCGCGCGCGCGCACACACACACACACACACACACACACACAGGCGCACGAATTCTTTTTTCGAGCGTGTCTTGCAGAGCTGGAGCACGGCGGCAGCGCACAAGCACAACGATGGAACATAGCGCCGGCACCCCAGCGTAGAGGGCGTCGTGTAGCCCTCCTTTTGGTATATTAGCCAGCACTGAGCATGAGCCTCGTTGCTGCGTGCCTCCGTGGCGACGTGGAGACGCTCTCCGACCTGCTGGCGGCCGGTGAGCCGCTCGAGGCCAGGTGCGAGGAGGGTTTCACCGCTCTCTACACTGCGGCCGCCGAGGACGATCCCGATGCGGTGCGTTGCCTGATCGAGGCCGGCGCAGCCGTGAGTGTGGGAGGCTCGCCGCAGGGCGCCACACCGCTGATGGTCGCATCGGAAAACGGCCACCTCGAGTGCGTGCGAATGCTGATCGAAGCCGGAGCCGACCTGGACATGCACGAGTCGTGCGATGCGCAGCCAGACTTTGATCCATCCGCCGAGGACGATCACGCCGAGTGGATCCCGCCACCACTCGTCCTCGCGGCCGGAAACGGCCACCAAGATTGCGTCCGCATCTTGATCAGAGCAGGCGCGGACCTCAACATCAAGTTTGGCCCCTGCCGAAACAGCCCGCTGCACGAGCTCTGCGCTGCCGGGCGCGTGCAGATGGCGCGGACGCTGCTCGACGCAGACGCGGATCCGAGCGCGGAGGATGTGGATGGGCGGTCGGTGCTCTTCGTCAGCTGCATGTGCGATCAGCCAGAGTGCGCCGCTCTTGTCCTGGCCGCCGGCGCAGGCATCGATCAGCCCATGCGCGAGCCAAACCCGGGCGCAACGCCGCTCTACGTGGCCGCCATGTGTGGCCACGAGCGGTGCGTCCGCCTGCTCTGCGAGAACGGCTGCCCATCCCCTCAGCGGGGAGGCCCGTGTAGCACTCCTGCTTGATCGGCCGCACGCGTCTCGTTTAGGCGCACGCATCAACGCGCGGGCGGCGCGCGGCGCCACGCCCATGTTTGCGAGTTGCCAAGAGGGCCACTTGCGCGTGGTCATGCTTCTCTCCTCGTACGGCGCCGCCCGGACGGGCCGCTGGACGTCCGACAACGGCGAGCAGCTCACGAAGCGGGCCGACATGTTTGCTACCGACCACGGACACGACGAGGTGGTTCGCTGGCTGGAGGCGTCGGCCTCGTACTCGCCGCTGCACCACGTGGAGGTGCTCACCGGGCGGCGGACGGTCGAGCTGCTCCGCGGCGACGCTTGCGCGTCCTACAACCTCCGGAGCGGCCGCTCGATTCGACCCCTGCGCCCGCGCGCGCCGTTCCGGCCGCCGTGTGCGCCGCCCCGCACCGAGACGCCGTACGAGCTGGCGCTCGCGCGGCCCGAGCTCCCGGCCTCGCAGCTCATCCTCGCCGCCGCATCTCCGTGGAGCCCCGCCTCGCACAGGCTGTGGGAGCCGTGGTTCCGGGAGCGTGCGACCGTCCTGTGCACGATTGGCTACAAGCTCGCCTATCGCCTCAACCGGGAGGAGCACTCGTTTGTGGACGTGTGGGTCAGCCACGTGCTGCCCAAGGCGATGGCCGAGAGTGTGTGATGGACGTGTATGAGAGTGGGTGACGGACGTGTATTAGGGCAGCACACTCGCGCGTATTAGTAATTAGAGGCGCACGGCGGCGGCGGCACGCGCGCAGCAGCATCGCGCGTATTAGCGCACTTGGAGCACTTGAACTTGGAGCACTTGGAGTGCAGTCTGGCCTGCAGTCATTAACCTCACATCCAGGGCCGGGGAGCTGAGGAGCGCACCCAGCGGGCCGGATGATCGGTATCGGGTTACGGGCAAGAGAGCCCTAGCCCCGGGGGTGCGCGTTCGCAGGGCAAGGGCCGTAAAGTAAAGAAAGAAAGAAAGAAAACAGACAACCCAAGGGAGGGATGGGAGGACGGCACGCCGCCACCACACAGGGATTTTAAGGAGAGGAGTGTGATGCGCTAGCCGTCGCCTACCCTAGGGAGTCTGCCTCTTCCTATCTCTCTTCGCAGTCTCTCTCCGATTCTCGCTTCAACCTTCGTGCCACCTCGCGGCCGTCCCACTCTCGTCGCTCTCTCCCTTGTCACTTCCTCCTCTGTCGCGTCGTTCTCTTCTGTCTCGTCCTGCGGCGCCGCCGCCTGCCGGTCCCTTGTTCTCGCGGCTTCTTTCGCCTTTTTTCGGCGCAACTCCGTCCTCCTCGCGGCGTATCCTGGCCCCTCGAGTCTATCGAGCTCCCCTCGCGCAAGGACCACATTTCTGACTCCCACTCCGAGCATTTGCCTACAGGTCATGTTGTTGCTCAGGTCCACTCTCTCTTCGAACACTCGTGCCTCTACGGATGATGCCGGCGCTGGAGTCCCCTTCGGATGCATCGTGACATCTGACACCTGAATTTCCACTGGTTCGTCCTCCTCTGAGTCATCTTCCCCGTCCTCCTTCCGCTCAGCTCTTCGCTCGGTACGTTCGGTGTGACTCACCCTCCATGCCGTGAACAGGCGCTTTATCCACCCTATATTCTTCTCTCGTTCCTCTGCCCGTGCCTTGGTCTTGTCGTTGTTTCGCACCCATGTCTGTATGGCAATCGAGGCTGCCTTCCCCACTACCTGTAGTTCGCTCGTCACCTCTCCCGCGAGCTCCCTTCTCTTTCTTTCGGGTATGGAGTCCGTGAGTGCGGGTAGCGTGCAGGCAATCACGGGCGCTATTTTGTCGTACTCCTCTTCGGCGAGCGCCCCAAATCTAGACCCTTTCGCCTTTAAGGAGGCTGCCCTCGCTCGTCTCAGGAATGTGGCGGTGTCTTTTGAGTCCGGCGCCTCCCGTTCGACTCTTGCTGTCGCCCTCGCTGTGTGTTTATCGAGCTTCCGCATGAAGTGACGCGCCTCTTCCTTATTTCCAGCGCAGCTGCCGCTCAGTATGTGCGCCAACGACGCCTGTGGTGGCTCACTGTCTTCTTGTTTCCAGTCGTCCCAGTCTTTCAGTTCCCCGCGTCTCCTCCTTGCCTCGCGCGCCTCTTTTGTGAACTCATCCCTAGCCGCTTTGCACGCTCTGCATCCCCAGAACGCACTTCTCGTGGCGGGGCCCCTTATTCCCCGTTTCTTTTCCCCCTCTAGAATACGCCTGTGGTGTGCACTGGTTGGGTAGTAGTCTAAGTTCTGAGCCTCGAGGCTGAGCGGGTCTAAGTGTGACTAGTCACGCTGGGGTGCTTACGCGGTCTAAGATCAGCGAGAGCCTCTTACATCGGCTAAGTCGGCCGTGGCACAGCCTGGGGCCAAGAGGCTCCCACCGTGATCAACGATACGGCGCTAGCCCCCAAATTTTCTTCGCCTGCGGCGGGCGCCTTCTAATCCGGATCGATCCTTCTCATGCTCAGCAATCGCCGCCTCAGCATCCTCCTCTTCCGATTCTCGTTGCTCTTCTTGAGCGCAATCTTCAAGCCAAACAGTTCTCACAAATAGCCTCAAGCTCAAACAAACGCATGTCAAGGAAGCCTGTGTATGCTGGTCCTCTTTGAATGATCCGCGCGTGAGGTAGATCTAGCATAGGGCCTTGTTGGCAGCAGCCAGCTTGTTGCGCTGCTTCGTTGCGATGAGCTGATTGGGATCGCAGAAGTGCATGCCAAGCACCGCCACGATCTTGAAGCAGAACACATCGCAACCGCATCGTCCGCACTGCCATCGGCATGCCGCGCCCGCCGCTTCGCCGCAGCCGCCTTAAGACACGCATAGCGGCAGCACATGGTACGGTGCGCGTACTTGAGCAGGAGTTGCGCGCCGCAAGTAGCGCACTGGCCCTGGGACAAGGCGATATGGCGTCGTGCGCGGCATACGTGTTACGTTGGTCGGGACGCGTCCCCAGGTATTTTTCGGGTAAACCTGGACTTTTGCAGGTATACCCGGGTTTTACCCGGATTTGGCCTTGTGCCGTCTAAGTTCATGGCCCCCGACCATACAGCGTCTAAGTCCGAGCCCGGCTCCGTGCGGGGGCTAAGTTGAGCGCTCGCTCGCTGCAGAGGCTAAGTGTAGAGCGACCCTCTAGCCCTACTACCCAACCATTTGGTGTGCCCCATGTGGCACCCCGACCTGTTGTCTCACCCTGGCCCCCAAGATCGTTTTAGGGCCGTAAAGTAAACACGGGTCTCCACCAACTCTTGGAGCACTTGGAGTGCAGTCATTAACCGCACATCCAGGGCCGGGGAGCTGAGGAGCGCACCCAGCGGGCCGGATGATCGGTATCGGGTTACGGGCAAGAGAGCCCTAGCCCCCCCCGGGGGTGCGCGTTCGCAGGGCAAGGGCCGTAAAGTAAACACGGGTCTCCGAGGGTTGGTTCCGTGTACCGGGTTTCCCCTTAACTTCAGAACGCCCCCTCTACTCGGAGCTAGTAGACATGACACTGTACACCACTCACCACCACTCCGCGCTCACTCCGCAAGTCGTTTTCTCCTTTTGACCTGGACCTCCACATGGATCGTCTCACTCGCCTCGGTAGCTACCTCCGGCAACGACACGAGATCGACTCGTGGCTGCTAGAGCGCCGCTCGGAGCTGGCTGCGGCCATCGCAGTGCACGACGAGGCGCTCGCGGCCACAAAGCTGCTCTGCGAGGCGTGCATTGCCGTCCTTCGCCCCAGCCGGACTGCACGCCGCCGTCACGCCCCACCCGGTCCCTCCGCTGCGTCAGGCACTCCTGCTCGAGGCAGAGGAGTGCACCTCGAGCGCAGGCGTCCAGCGGTGCGACACGTGGGAGGTCTTTGCGGCGACAGAGACGGTGCCGCCGCCGCTGCTGCGGCCGGGTCCGCCCGAGAGGCTGCTCGGCTTCATCCGCGGCACGCCGGCGCGGGCGAGGCGACGCGCGAGCGAGCAGGCCAACGCTCGCGTCGACGAGTCCGACGCGATGGCAGATTATCGTGCGGCGGCGGACGGTCGGCGGCGGCGGCTGCTCGAGGAGTTTGCTCCGGTGCTGTCTCGCTCGGACCACTCCGCGGTCTGCGTGGAGGCGCGGCTGGCGACGGCGGCGGCGGAGGCCGAGCCGGAGCAGGAGGTCGAGGAGGAGGCCGCCGCGGCGGCGGAGGTCGTGACGGGTGCGGTGGAGGCAGAGGCAGAGTCTGGGCGGCTGCGGCTGCGGGTCGTCTCTCAGAACGCGCAGGAGCTGGTGCCGGACGGCGTGCACACCTGCGCCTGCGCGGTCGCCGCCCGCCTCAAGGGGTTGCCGGAGGTGCCTCCGGCAGGCCGCGCTGTCGAGCTGCTCAAGGAGGCGATGCTCTCGCCGCCGGCTGCGCGCGCGCAGCTCGAATGGCTGCGCTCCTTGCTCGAGGGAGAGGTGCCGCACTCGGCGGCCGTCTGCCTGCAGGAGCTGTCGGACGGGCTGGTGGCGGACCTGCGCGCGCTCTGCGGCGCACCTGGCCGAGGCTGGCACATGCATGCCTCCGAGCCGGCTCCGCCGCGGGGTCGCGCGGGCGCCTCGTGCGCTGCACGCACCTGCATTATCTCCTCCTCGCCGCTGCGGCCCGAGCCAGACGTCGTCGCCTCCTTCTCGGGGGCGGGCGGCGCGGCGGCGCGCACGCGCCGCTTCGCCGCCGCGACGCTTCGAGCGCGCGCCGAGGCGGGCGCAGGCGGCGGCGTCGTCCTCGCCTCGGTGCACTTCCTCCATGCGGCCGAAAGGGCGGCGGCGGGGGAGGCAGCGCCCTCCAACGCTTCGCACATCTGCGAGGGCGTCTCGCAGGCGGCGAGGCAGCTGCGCGGCCGGCTGCGGCAAGGGGGCACGCTGCTCCTCGTCGGAGACTTCAACGGGCCCGTCGGAGGTGTTGCCGACTTGCTCGCCCGCGATGATGGCGGCGATGATGGCGGCGATGGCGGCGGGGATGGCGGCGGCGGCGGCGGCGGCGGCGGTGGCGCTGGTTGCGGTGGCGGCGCAGGTGGTGTCGGTGGGGTTGGCGATGGTCGCGGCGGCGAGCGTGGTGGCGGCGGAAAGGTGTGGCAGTGGCACGCGAGCCCTGCAGGCCCGACGCAGCTGTCGCTGTTTGGAGGCGGCGAGCGTGCTGCCGCCGACGGCGCCGTCGCCCTCTCGCTGCGGCGGCGGGCGGTCCGACGCATGACGTGCGCCCTCCTGCAGCCTCGGGGGGGAGGGGGCGGACCCCAGAGCAGAGAGGGCGGCGGCGGAGAGGGCGGCGTCGGCGACGGAGCCAGGCCGGGCGGGAAGGGCGGCGGCGGCGGCACGGACGGCGGTGGCAAGGGCGGCAGCGGAGGGGGCCGCGGCGGAGGAGCCGGTGGCAGTGGCGGCGAAGGCGAAGGCGGAATGGCGGGTGAGGGCGGCCCGCCAGAGCCCGGTCTCGAGGGGCGCGACGCGTCGGCGGAGGCGGAGGCGGAGGTGGAGGTGGAGGCGGAGGCGGAGGCGGAGGCGGAGGCGGAGGCGGAGGCGGAGGCGGAGGCGGAGGCGGAGGCGGAGGCGGAGGCGGAGGCGGAGGCGGAGGCGGAGGCGGAGGCGGAGGCGGAGGCGGAGGCGGAGGCGGAGGCGGAGGCGGAGGCGGAGGCGGAGGCGGAGGCGGAGGCGGAGGCGGAGGCGGAGGCGGAGGCGGAGGCGGAGGCGGAGGCGGAGGCGGAGGCGGAGGCGGAGGCGGAGGCGGAGGCGGAGGCGGAGGCGGAGGCGGAGGCGGAGGCGGAGGCGGAGGCGGAGGCGGAGGCGGAGGCGGCAAAGTGGGCGGGCCTCGCCCTCGTCGCGTCTGTGAGTTCGGCGGCGCGACAGCAGCTCGTCGACGGCGGCGTGAGCGAGGAGCTGCTGTCGCTGCCCGCGCCGCTCCTGTGCTCACAGCTCCGAGAGATGGCAGTGGTGTCGCCGCGGCGGCAGCTCCTACCTCGCGGCGGCCCTCCTCACCCGTCGGCTGTGGCGCGCACGCCCACACATAGGCGGTGGCAGCTCGTGAGGTGGTGAGGCTGCCTTCTCGGCATCGTCTCCGAACCTTCTCGGAACCTTCTCGCAGGTGGCAGCTCGTGCGGCGGCGAGGCACCCCGCGGTGCGGAGGCTGAAGCCGGCCGAGACCGAAGCGCGCGCCCTCGTGCTCAGCGATTTTGCGACGCTGGCGCCGGCCTCGGCCGCCCCCTTCGGTCCTCCTCCTCCTCCGCCCGCCGGCTCGCCCTGCCCCGCCGTCCTGCTCGTCCTCGTGCGCTTTGCCTCTCCTCCGCCCCCACCCCGTGCCGGCGCGGGCGGGGCCTCTTAAGCAGTTTGGCTGCAAGCAGGCGCGCTTCCGCGAGGACGTGTCTTGGCTCGCGCGGCTTCCTCCGGGCGTCGAGTACCACGTCATGCAAAAGGGAGGCGCCGTCCAGCGCGAGCTGCCCGCTTGCCGGCAGACGGCGCTGCCCAACGTCGGCCGCGAGGCCCACGCGTACCTCTCCTGTGAGGTGTGAACAGCGTCTCTTCACACCCACCGCTGTGAACAGGCCCACTCGTACCTCTCCTGTGAGGTGTGAACAGCGTCTCTTCACACCCACCGCTGTGAACAGGCCCACTCGTACCTCTCCTGTGAGGTGTGAACAGCGTCTCTTCACACCCACCGCTGTGAACAGGCCCACGCGTACCTCTCCTGTGAGGTGTGAACAGCGTCTCTTCACACCCACCGCTGTGAACAGGCCCACTCATACCTCTCCTTTCTCCAGACCGTGCACGCCGCCTCCGCCTCCGCCGCCGAGGCGGCGCGGCTTCTCCCGCCGCTCGTCGTCTTTGCGCAAGCGGAGCCCTTCGACCACAACCCGGGCGAGCTCTCCCCACGGACACCCCCCACCCCCCACCCCGCCCCCCGCCCCCGCCCCGAGAGTGCGCGCTTCGCCCCGCACCCGCGGCGGCCCGCCGCAGCGCTCGGCCCGCCAGACCGCGCCGCATCACCTCACGCCCTGCCTTGGCTCGCCGCATCACCTCACGCCTTGGCTGAAACAGCCTTCCTCGACGAGCTCTCCCTCCTCGCCGCGCACGTCTCCGCTGGCCGCCGGCCGCCGCGCTGGGTGCCGCTGGGGCTCTGGAGCGGTGGAGAGCGCATCGTCTACTGCGACGCCAGCGGCGCGCCGCACCAGGCACTCAAAGTAAACCAACTAGCACCCTCGGTCGCGCTCCATTCCTGGCCCCCTCCTTCTCCTTCTCCCTCCTTCTCCCCCCCCCCCGCCTCTCCTCCTCCTCACACGGCAACACCCCACACCCTTCCTGAACACCCCTCCGCTCGCTCGGCTCACAGCCGCTGCTGCTCCCGATTGGGCGCGTGTGGAGGGCGCTGTTTGGAGAGGGGCGGGCCCTACCGACGTGGATCGGCTTCACTCCTGGCGCATGCTTCGCGGTCTGCCGCGAGGCGCTGCTCCGCGGGCTCACGCCCTCACGCGTCGAGGCGGCGCTCTCACCCTCCTGCGGGTTCGGGGGCCTAGAAGCTGACCCTCTGATCGAACTGTGCCTAGCACTCGAGACTAGCACTCGAGACGACATGTGCTCAGCTGTCTGTCGACCGGCCTCGTACACCCTCGTGTTTCACGACGCAGGCTCGGGTGCCACGCCGACCCGCTCTCCGGGCACGTGTTTGAGCGGCTGTGGAGATACCTCTGTGGCTACGGCGAGGAGGAGGAGGAGTTGGGCGAGCACGCCGTGTCGTCGGGCGGGCCGCCGCCGCTCTCGCCGCCGCCCTCGCCGCCGCCCTCGCCGCCGCTCTCGCCGCCGCCCCTAACGACTCTGGTTGGCATCGGCTCTCTGGTGTCGGAGTCCTCGGCGGCGCGCTCCTTCTCCTTTTGCAACTTCCGCATCGGCGAGGTCCGCGGCTGGCGTCGCACCTTCAGCCAGGCGAGAGATTACCCGAGATTACCCGAGATTACCCGAGATTACCCGAGATCACCTGAGATCACCCGAGATCACCCGTCGCACCTTCAGCCAGGCGAACTGGGTCAACACGGCGCACGGCTGGGGCAGTGCCGCTCGAGGCACGGCGGCGGCGCTGGCGATGGTGCGTTGCGACGCAGACTTTGTCAGCCGCGTCGCGCTGCTCGACGTAAACGCGGAAGAGCTGCCCGGCTTCTACGAGCGCGAGGCCGGCTACAGCATCGTCACGACCGACTACTGCGAGGGGCGGGGCCCCGAAGGCGGCGCGGCGCGGCGTGGCGTGGCGCTCATGTGCGCCGCTTGTGCGGACGATGCCGAGGCGGATACGCTGTGGGCGCCCGGCGGCGCGATGGAGCGCCATTGCGCGGGCAGCGAGTACGTCGCCGCCTGGATGCGCTCCTCTCTCCGCCCGCTGTGGCCGCCCGCGGGTGCGCACCTGCTGCCTGCGCCGGGCTACCTGCGGCTGTGCGCAGCGGCGCACCGGCGAGCGGGGCTGCTCGACCACTTCCTCGATAGCACGCTCCTCCACGACGGCGTCACGACACTACGCGCGCATTGCGAGCGGGACGAGGGCGCGCGCCGCGCCATCGCGTCGCTAGACGAGGAGGAGGCTGCAGGCAGCGACGAGGAGGCCGCCTCGATGCACGGCGATGCGAGAGGGGCGCTGAGTAGGAGTAGTGGGCATGGAGTCACACTAGAGCCGTAGCGCGGCGAACGGCGACATGAGAGGGAGGCGGCGTGTCCCGGAATTGCATATGCTCAAGGACAAGGTACTCCCTCTCCGTCTCCTGCGCCGCCGCGGGATTCCCCCCCGCTTGCGCGTTCTCCATATTTTCTTTTTTCGCATACCCCGCACAGCATAATACTCGCTCAAGTGCGGCCGCAACCCAACACCGAGTCGAAGAATGTGTCTGTGATGGCCTCACTGAGGCCTCCCATGCGGGCCCAAGTCGCGTCCGCGGGGCTGGCATGCGCCCCTCCCTCCCCTTTGCGTCGAGCGGCGGCGCACCGAGAGCCCCGTGACCCGTCGTGCCGGTCGCTGCCGGCGCCACAGGCGTCGTGATGCTGCGGGTCCCGGAAGGCCCCGAGCGGCGCGCTCAGCGTGAGCAACGCAGGCTCCTCCCAGATTTTGACGCCCAGCGGCGCCAGCGTGCTGCGCGCAGCCTCATTGAGCGCGCGGATGACGAGCGGGTTAGTGCCGGGGAACGCACGGGCTCGTCCCGCCGCCAGCCCGCAAAGAGACGCGCCAGCCTTCAGCGTGGCATCTTCGAGCAGCAGCTGATGTGTGGTTTGTCGCCAAATGAACTGTACGCTGGGGTTGACGGCCTGCACTCGCGCTATGATGTGTGCAAGCAGCCGAATGTGATGGCGGTACGCGGATAGAGGCGACACTTTCTTTTCATGTCCCGGTGGAGGCAACGAGACGTCGTGCGCTCCACTCTGTAGTACCACGATGCTGTCGTTTGCCAGCGCAAGCGCCCGCTCCCAGTCCCCCGCCGCCTTACCCACCACATTGCCACAGCCGATCCGTGGCGGGTTTCCCATCGCGTTGCTGATAATGACGCCGCCGCTAGGTAGCGGCTTGGCCGGCCCGCTCCATTCGGAGCAGTTGGCTGAGCGCCCTGCCACACGCGCGCAAATGTCGAGGGCAAAACCATTACTGATCGAGTCGCCCACAATGATGAGACGCCGGTGGCCTTTGGCGAGGCAACGACCAATGTGGAGATGCTGTCGCCGAGTGCTCGCGCAGCCAAAGGGAACCCACTCATGCGGGCTACGAAACTGGGAGTGGTGACCGACGGCTTGCATGCCACTCGGCGTGGTTCCATTTTCGCTTACGCGGACCCAGCGTCCGTCTTCGCCTCCATGGCAAGCCCGGGTGATCGGAGGGTGCTCGTGAGCGGGCTGCGCGCGTGCCGCGATCGTGATGGGAGGCCGGCTGGCTGCGCGGCACTGCAGCTGGTCTGCACTAGGGAGGTTTTGCGCAGGCAGCGAGGGGAAGGAGCGGTTTGAGGCAGGCGTGTGGCCAACCATAATCCACCATCTCGACTCGAGGTAGTCCTGCTTGTCGGCGGAGCGCCCCGCGCCTTCCCTCGTCTCCATGCTCCTCTGTTCTTTTTGTTTTCCTGCGCTTCCTGTCGCTGGGCCGGCGACGTATCTTGCCGTCTGCCTCCGCGCCCTGGCGGGCCGCGTTTCCTTCCCCTCTTCCCGTGTGTTCTCTCCTACGTGGTCGCCCTCGCGTGCGCCGCTCGCCGTCTGTTCTCCTCTCTGCTCGTCGTCCTCGTCCCCTCGCTGTCGTCGCTTCCCTCCGGCGCTCGCCGCCGCTCCTGTCACCGCGTTTCCTGCGCCGGCCTTCGCCTTCGAGCTCGCAGTGGGTCGTTTTGAGTGTCGTCCCCATCGCTCTCGTCGTTCTGCCTCTCCCCGCTTCGAGGCGTCTCTCTGCCTCCTCCCTTTCCTTCTCCTCGGCCTCACGTTGTCGATGTCGCCTCCGTCGCCAGCAAATACACGCATTCGCCGCCATTCTATTTCTCGTATTCGTTCCTCTCCTTTCTTTCCTTCTGTCCCTCTTTCAGGCGTTCTGTCTCCGCGGCCACTCGTTCCTTCCTCAGTCTCCGCCTCAAGTCCCTTCCTCTTCCCTTCCCGTACTTTGATTATTGATGCCGCCGTCTGCTGCAGTGCCTTGAGTGAGGTCACCACCCGTGTGTCATACTCCCTCATGATGGGCTGAGGGTGCAAACAGCGTCCAGGTCACTGTCCAGGCCGCCACCAATATCAAACAGGTCATCGAGTGGAAGTTCAACTTAAAATTCAATACTCGGATCAGATCAGATCGGTGAGAACTGAGATGGTGGAGTGCGCAGTCCGCACATTTGAGTCCGCAGTGTCCGAGTCACTCAGTGTGCGGCGTCCGGCGAGCGGCGTCGCCGAGGGACCGCGCGCGGGAGCGCGGAGCGCGGAGGAGAGGCTAGCGGGATGGGGGGCTCTATATGTACGAGATAAGTAATATACAAACAGAGAGAGAGGATGTTCAACACAAAAGGTTGAACTTGAGAGACGTGAGCAAAGAAGGACTATGTAAGAGAGGGAGGCGGGCGTGAGACGTGCTGCGTTGTCGCGTCGGCGTGAGGGGCGGGAGACCAAAAGAGGGCACAGGGCAGGTCTCAGAGAGAGGAGCTCGCGGCGGCCTCCTCTCCCACGCGGTCCCTCCGGATCATCGCGGCGGCCTTCTCGCCAATCATAATGGTCGGCGCGTTGGTGTTGGCCGACGGCAGCTTCGGCATGACGGAGGCGTCCGCCACGCGCAGCCCCGCCACGCCGCGCACGCGGAGCGAGGCGTCCACCACGGCGAGCGGGTCCGAGGGTGGTCCCATCTTGCAGGTGCCCACCGGGTGGTAGAGGGTCATGCCAAAGTGCTGCACCGTCGCCTTCCAGTAGCGCGCGAGCCGCGCCTTTGGTAGCTGGTAGAAGTCGAGCGGGCTCATCGCGTCGTACTCCGGGTAGGCGTCCCCGAGGCCGAGGTCTGCCGGGTGCGGCGCCGTGACGCCCGTCACGAGCGAGCGGAGCGGCTCCTGGGCGACCAGCAGGTTGGCCGCTGTCAGGATCTCAACCCAAGCGTCGAGGTCGGCCTCGTCACTCAGGTAGCGCGGGTCGATGAGCGGCGGCACGGCCGGGTCGGCGGAGGCGAGCCTACAGCGGGAGGCAGGGGCTGCCTCTGTGCGTCCTCGACTGCGCGTGCGTGTGATCCAGCTGGTGTGACCTGGGCCCGGGGTGGTGCTGTTGTGTGTGAGGACACACGGGCTACGACTACGGCGAACACGGTGGGGGACGGCCGAGTGCGGCGGAGTCCGTGTCCTCTCGGGCGCTAGTGGGGGGACAAGAAGACGTGTTCCGCTTCTAGGGGCGCGAGCTCGACAACGCCGCGCGACTTTGGGTGCAGGTGGCACGGGACCTGCGCGGGTGGTGCACCGACATGAGGGCGGGAAGACGGCAGTGTGTAGTGTCTTCAGAGCACCGCGTGGATACGAGGGGGGGCGAACACAGCTGGATACGGTCGAGTGCAGCGGAGTGCGTGTCCTCTCGAGCGCTCGTTAGAAGACAACACGTATTCCGCTCCTAGGCCCGAGATATGGGGAGATATGGGGAGATCTTCCGCTTCTAGGCACGGGACGAGCGTGACGCCCTCCTCCTCGCCCGCCTTGTGCTTAGGGGACTGGAGGTGCCCCCACGCGCTCCTGCTCACGCCGATGTTGTCGTGGAAGAGCTTCTCGTCGCCCGCGCCGACGAAGAGGCCCACCTGGAGGTGGGGAGAGATGGGCGAGAGATGGGCGAGAGATGGGGAGGGTTGGGGAGGTGTGGGGAGGGGTGGGGAGGGTTGGGGAGAGATGGGGAGAGGTGGGGAGAGGTGGGGAGAGGTGGGGAGAGGTGGGGAGAGGTGGGGAGAGGTGGAGAGAGGTAGGGAGAGGTGGGGGAGAGATGTGGAGATACGGGGAGATACGGGGAGATACGTGGAGAGAGGAGGAGAGATGGAGAGAGATGTGGAGAGATGGCGAGAGATGGGGAGACCTTGGGAGACGGGGGGGGGAGAGGGAGGGGGGGGGGGGGGGGAGATGTGTGGGGAGATGGCCCGGCAAAGAGAGCCGCTCCTGCATGTCGGGTCCCTCGCCGGCGGCGGCGAGCGGGGTGCGGCCGTGCACGACGGCGTCGTAGCTCGAGGAGGAGAGGTGGCCCTCGCCACGCAGCAGCCACTGCAGCAGCGCCGCGGGGCTCTCGGCCTTGGCCTTGGTCACCGCGTCCGCGCCCTTGACGAAGAAGGTGTAGAACATCGCGAGGTGGTCCTGCGTGGTGCAAGACGCCAGCCTCAGCGCGGTGTGCGGTCTCGTGCAGAGTCTTCAGAGCGCCGCGTGAGTACGAGATCTGGCGAGATCTGGGGAGATATGGCGAGATTGTGTGCGGGCTCGTGCAGAGTCTTCAGAGCGCCGCGTGAGTACGAGATCTGGCGAGATCTGGGGAGATATGGCGAGATTGTGTGCGGTCTCGTGCAGAGTCTTCGGAGCGGCGCGTGAAGGCGCGAGGGGCGACGAGTAGCATGCGCACAGCGTGGCCTCGACCGACAAGCAACAAGCACGCGCCCTCTCGAGTGCTGGTTGGAGTGCAAACAAGGGCCTTCCGCTTCTACGGGGCTGCTCCTGCAGGTTCTGGCCGACGCCTGGAAGGTCCACCTCAGTCGGAACCCCAACCTAGAATCGGGTCGTCGTGTCGTCTCGCTCTCGCCTCGCTCTCACCTCGCTCTCGCCTCGCTCTCGCCTCTCGGGTCGACCTCATCGGTTCTCGGGCCAGAGCCCTCACCCCCTGCCTCCCGCCTCCGCACTCGCCTCCGCACTCCTCTCTCCCGCGGCGTCCTCTCGGCACACCAACCTTCTCGAGCTGATCGCGCGGCCCGATGCCCGAGAGGAGGAGGAGCTGCGCCGACCCGACCGCTCCAGCCGACACCACCGCCTCGCGCCGCACGCGAATGCGCACCTCCTCCCCCTCCCCCTCTGGGCCGCCGACACGGGCCTGCACCGCCGCCACCCGCGCGCCGCGCCCCTCCCCGCCGGTCCCCTCGCTGGCGAGGAGGAGCCTATGGGGCGGATGCGCCAGCCTCGGGGCGGGAGGACGGCCTTGTGCGGAGGGTGCGGAGCACCGCGAGGGCTGCGAGTATACTAGAGAGAGCGTACTGCGGTGGAGGGACGTGTCCTCGCGTTCGCTGGTTTGGAGACAAGAGTGCGTGTTCCGACGGGGAGGAGAGGGGGAGAGGTTGTTCCGCTTCTAGGAGAGACGAGGCTTGCTGACGAGGCCGTGCGTGAGAACGTGCAGGTTGGCTCGCCCCATGGCGGGGTACAGAAACGCATCCGCCGTGCTGCCGCGCCGCCCGCTCCCAAACACCGTCTGCTGGAAGCGAGACGCTCCGCTCGCGTCGCCGTCGTTGTAGTCGCGAAGCGGGTGGCCCGCCGCCACTGCAGACTGGACAAACGCCTCTGCCAGCGGGTTGGCGGGGCTCTTGTACCGGACGGGCAGCGGCCCACCTATGGGGAGATATGGGGAGATATGGGGAGATATGGGGAGATATCTTGTACCGGACGGGCAGCGGCCCACCGAAGCCGTGCGCCGACGAGTTGAGCGCGCCGGCCCCTGTCTCGCGCGCCAGTGTCGCGTCCTCGGACTGCAGGAAGAAGGGCAGCACCGACTCCCAGTCCCAGCCAGGGTTGCCTGCGTGGTGGAGAGGAGGGCGGGAAGATGGTATCGAGAGCACCGCGTGAATGCGAGGGATGCGAATACAGTGAAGGTTGGGACACAAGAATACAAAAAAAGAATACGTGCTCCGCTTCTAGGCTTGGGTTGCCCATCGCCGCCCACGAGTCGTAGTCCGCCGCGTCTCCGCGCACGTACGCCATGTAGTTGAGCTGCGACGAGCCGCCGAGGAGCTTGCCCCGCGGCCAGTTGGACTTTTGGTCCGTGTAGGCACGGTGCGACGTTTTCTGCGGAGTCGTCTTGAGCTGCCAGTCTCCGTCGACCAGCTGCACGTCGCCGCACGCCGCTGGTATGCTGTGCTTGATGCCCGACTCGCCTCCCGCCTCGATGAGCAGCACGCTCACGTCCGCGTCCTCAGAGAGGCGGGCGGCGATGACGCTCCCGGCGGACCCGGCGCCGATGACGATGTAGTCGTACTCATCGAGCAGCTGAGACGCGCCGATCGGGCCGTACGCGCGCCGCCACGCCGCAAAGGCGGCCACGGCGAGGACGAGGAGCGACACGCGTGCGCCGAAGAAGGGCATGTGGAGACGGCAATAGCGTGGCCTTCGAGGGGATCAATGCGGGCTTGAGGACGAGCGATCAATGCGGGCTTGAGGACGAGCGATGTTGCGTGAAATCCGGCACGGTTTCACGCCTGCTCTGCTGAGGGGAGGGGCCGGGCTCATAGCGGCGAGTCGAGCTCCTGCCTCTGGCCCCCGTATGTGATATTCCCCATGTGCAGCGAGATGTAACGAACGGACGTCGGCGCAACTTCTCGTTGGCAGGTGCGTCGCGTTCGTCCTAGCTCTCTGCTCTGGGTTCTGATTTCAGTCGCCAGTCGCCATGGTCGATTTCAACAACCTTCTGAGCAGGTTCGTGCTTGCGGCTCCTCGAGCGCTCAACGATGAGGTCGCGCAAGGTCAGATGGTCGTGTGTACCCAGATGTCGATTGCTGGAAGCGCCGCTTCATTCACCGTCAAGATCATGAATGCTGGTACTGGCAGGGATCTGGCAGAGCAGCTGGCGCAGCCGCTGATCAAGGGGCTGCTCGGCCTGACCGCTTCGGCGGCCGAGCTCGCGGCCGCGACGCAGGCGGAGCAGTCCGTGCATGCTACAAAGACATACACTGCTCGTGAGACTGCCCGATTCTACCCGGGTTGGAGGGACTGGAAGACTGCCTTCGAGCAGGCGGCCGCAGCTCCTCGGCCGCGGACCGACCCGCCCAACACGGGCGGTGCCGGACCTGCCGCGCCAAGGCCGGTCTCGATTCTCGGAGCCCCGTTTGCTCTCGAGATGTTTCGCAAGCTGCCTGCCTCTGGGTCAGTGGCCGCTGGTAACGTCGAGGCGGCCGAAGTGCTAGGCCTTTGCGACAAGATGCCGGCCCTCGGCGCTTCCATGCTGCCGGAGGCTGTCCGGATTCAGAGCTTCGCAGTGGCGCTGGAGGCGGCAGCCGGCGAGGCCGCCCACACGTCTCTCCGTGGTGAGGTCTCAGCAAAAGGTCAGCTGACACTCGCCGAAGCGACGGCCTTCCTCGGGCGGTTCGGCCAGGCCTTCAAAGCGAGCGCGCCGTCTCCTACGGCGCCCACTACCCCCTACGAAGCGCTCGTCCGCCGCGTCGACGCCGGCGGGCAGTTTGCTGAGTTCATGGAGAAGACCATCCCGTTTATCTGCACCGTGATTTCAGTCGCCCCACCCTCCGCTCCCTTGCGACTCTGTGATTTGTTCGGTTGTTCCACCCTCAGAGGTGTGTCTTGCAGGCTGTTCTCCCGTCGTCATCCCTCCGCCTTTCATGTGCATGTTTGCTGCCTGCGTTGTGTCGTGTGTGCCTGTTTGTCCCGGGGAGGGGGCTAGGGGGCATCGCCTTCCTCCCCCACGCCACGCATGTCATGCCGCGCATGCCCGGCTCGCGGAGCGTGCCGGGGTCATCTTACATGTAATTGAGGGGATTCGGAAGGACCTTCCGCCTGACCATATTGCCTTTGAGAGTGCGGAGGAGAAGGCGGTCTACGTATTCGTGCGCGAGTGTTTGCACACCAAGCGCGTGGGCGAATTCACCTATGCCTCTTGCCTAGAGGCTGTTGGTAGCGAGAAAGCCCTCGTGGACCTGACCATGGCGGTTGGTCACTACGGGAACGTCTGCGCCCTGCTCAACGTGTTTCAGGTCTCCCACCCAATTCTTGGTGGCATGGAGACGCCCTTTCCCACTCAGCGAGAGTGAGAATGGCGCGTGCTCCGTCCAGCGAGAGTTTTGCGAGCGGCGCCCGGCCGCGCCTTGACTGCGCACGTTCGAGTCCCGCGACGGGCCCCGTTCGTTTTTGATCTCTCGGTCTGTGGGGGCGGGCAGCGGGCGTTTGCTTTTAAAAACAGAAAACAGAAAAAAAAGAGGGGCATCAGGGGCCACTGAGAGTAAAAAATACGCCCGAGGGGACAAGGAGGGGTGAGGGGGCGCGGGGGGGAGGGCGCACGAAACACGGGTAAACCAAACGGGTCTGTCCCCAGCGGATCTCGGCTGGCTCTCTGCTGGTCACCATTCTCTCTCTGGCGCAAGCTGCCAAACCCGCCGGCGTCACGGCCTCTGCCAACAGAGAGTCCGCCGCACGAAACCGAGACCCCTCCGATCCCCCCACCCCCTTGCTAAGATAAGGGCCCCTCGATAGGGCCGGACAGAGGCACACACACACACGCGCGCGCGGTTTTTTCACGTACAGGCGCCTGGCTGGGGACCCGCAAAACCCGCTTCTACGCCAGACAACGCCCCGGGCTGGCGGCGCCGTGCCAGCCGCGAAATCTGAGGTCGCCCCGCCCGCCCTGCGCCCCCGCGACGGCCCCGCAGCTGCCGGGCCGGCTGGGGCGGCGCTCTACGGATCGCTGGTCGTGAGGCAACTGGCAAAGATGGCCCTTCCGGCCCTCCGCTGCACCATCCGCGGCGGCACGCTCGTCACCCCGTCGGGCACGCGACGCGCCGACCTCGGCATCGGCGACGACGGCAGGATCGCAGCGATCGAGCCGTCGCTGCCTGCCGGGAGGGAGGACATCGACGCGACCGACCTCTTCTTGCTGCCTGGCAAATCTGATGTTGGCCAGTTCCAATAGGAGCGAGGCCTCTTCCGTTGGGGGACCGAGTACATAGGAAACGAGGGTTTCGCCTGGGTCACGGTCGGGCTGCCGCGCGACGGTGTGCTCAAGAGCGGCTGGCTGGCGAAGCGCGGCGAGGTGAACACCGCGTGGAAGAATCGCTACTTTGTCCTGTTCGCCGCCGACTCGGAGCGCCAGCTCCCAAAGGTGCTGCGCTACTACAAGAGCAAGAGCGCCTTCGACGCAATGCAGAATGCGGGGCACGTGCCCATCGACGGATCGGTCGAGGTCTCGATGGGGTCGGCGCTCGACGCGGATCGGCCACACAGCTTCGAGGTGACGGTGCCAAAGAAGCGGAGCTACGTGCTGGCCGCGCCCTCGGCCACCGAGGCGGGCGAGTGGGTGACTGCGCTCGGAGGCGGCGTGGAAGGCAGCCCGCGATCGGTGTTGTCTGTCGCGTCTGGCCGCATCTCCGACGCGCCCGCGAAGCTCGGCGAGACCGAGGCGGAGCTTGAGGAGGTGTTCTCGGGATGGATGCGGAAGCGCGGCCAAGGGAGCAGCCTGCTGGGCGGCAAGCTCAAGCAGCGCTACTTCGTGCTCTACTCGAACAAGGAGCTGCACTACTTTGACAGCGCCACGCCAAGCGACGCGTCGCGCCGCGGCCAGATCCGGGTCGACGCGGCGGTGGAGATGGAGCGGAGCAAGCCTCGCGACAAGAAGGACTTCTCGTTCGTGATGAGGGTACCCGGGCGCGACTGGGTGCTCGACCCGGGATCCGGCACGGCTTGGGCGGAGTGGGACGCTGCGCTGCGCCCGATGCTGTCCCCTGCTGCGGCAGCCATTGCCGCTGCAGCTGCGTCTGGCTAGTGCCAGGGGGATCGTCGGCAGCTCCCAAGGTGGTCGTCGTCGGTGTGTGCACCGCTCACCCACGCGCACTGGGCCTTGCACTTTGAATGCCGTGGGGCTCCTGTCGTTAGACGTGGAGACGCGAGGGTCGCCCTCCCTTGCCCCACCACCTCGTGTGTGTGGCGAAGTATACCTTACCTTACCTTGTACCCTGTGTGCTCTCTCTCGTCTCTGCGACAGAGCTCGCGCGAGCCGAGACCCAATAGCCTCTCAGAGCAGAGACTCGACCCGATAGAGCCTCTCAGAGCAGAGAGAAGCACAGAGGGGCCGTGGCTTAAGCACGTGTTAGTTTCTCCGTCCCAACATATGTTACAAACTGAACACAAAACGAGATAATCTACAGACAGGTGACAGCACGTGCTGAGAAGCGCGGTGCGCGCGCCGCTGCCAGTGAGTATTGCTTCAGCCTTCACAGTATGCATTCAACAGGCCAACGGACACGCGGGGCCTCCACTTCTCTCCGCCGCGTTAGGCCACATCGATGATGGACAGCGGCGACGAGGACCGCGACTCGAAGGATGAGCGGCGGGGCACCTCCAGAGCGGGCGCCGCCAGCGAGCCCACTGGCAGGGCGCGTCGCCGACCCGAACTCGCCCACTCGAGGGTCGACTCGCCTCCGTGGGAGATGCGGACCACCTTGACTTGCGGCGCGTCGGCCGAGATGTCCCCAGAAGGCCGCTTCCTCGGCGAGCCGGCACCGCCTCCGCCCGGGCTGCTCGGCGTTTCGAGGCAGACATGCCCCTTTTTGAACACACCGCACTTGCGGCAGCGGTAGCCGCCGACGGTGACGCCAGCGCTCTGCGCCGCCTGGCGCGCCCTCTCCGCTCCCTTGAGCCGGTGGTAGCGGTTTCGGATCGCATTCTCCGAGCGGCCGGGCACGTCCTTTGCTACCGCAGCCCAGCGGGTGCCGTGCCGTGCGACGCCCTCCATGATGAGTTGATCTTCGGCGGGCCTCCACTGCTGAAGCTCACGGCCCTTCCTGCCCGAAGGCGAGGTTTCCGAAGGCGAGGAGGCCTGGGAGCTGCTGGCGGCTTCCACCGTGGCAGTGAACGCCGGCTTCGAGTTGGCGCGGCGGTGCTCCTCCGCGAGGATGGCCTCGACGGCAGGCCAAAGCTGCAGCTCATCGACGCTCAGAGCGGGGAGGTCATCGAGCGGAGGGAGCTCGTCCGCCAGCGGCTCAAGTGAAGGAGAAGCCTCGAGCAGGTCGGTGGTCACCTCGCCGTGCGCTTGGAGGTTGGCGTCGACAAGAAGCGCCTCGAGTCCCAGATCAACGAGACTCGTGTAGAGCGGAGAGTCGGCTGACGGCGCAGAGACGACGACCGGCGAGTCGCATTGGGTCTCGGGCGTGCTGATGCCGGCGATGCGAGCCAGGCGGGCGAGGTTGTTGAGAGAGAGGGACATCGCTCCTTGCAATGGTGTTCGGACGAATTTAGGCGGCAGGACACCGAGATTGTCCGCCGGGCTACAAGTCGACTGGCCACCCTGCGCGCAGCGATGGTCGCTGACACAGTTCGACCTCGTGGTCGGCGTGCACGTCGTCGGTTCCTCCCGTGAGAGAGAGGCGCGCCCCGCCGACGCTGTTGGTGTGGGCGCCGCCGTCCAGGTCGCGCGTAGCTCCGGCGTGACGCTCGACGACGTGAGGCGCGCGCTACGGCGCTGCCGCGAAAGAGGGAAGCAGCGCGGGCTGATGGCGAGGTGGATCACGGCGGCGCCTCCCGCCAGTGGCACGACCAAACGGCCGAGGCCGCCTTCACCTCAAGACGAGCCCAGCAAATCTGCTCGGCCACACGGGCCGGTGCCCAGGAGCAGTACGCTACCGAAGGGAGGTGTGTAGGTCGTATACGTGGAGAGCTAGAGACGCTGGGAGTGTGCATTAATCCTCGCCGGCGACGTTGTTACATTGTTGTTTGCCCGTACCATGGTGAACCTAGGGGAGAGAGATTTTTAGCAATACCAAACAACTCTAACACTCACGTTGTTTTGAACCTATCCCAGTGCTCAGTGCTCAGTCGTTCCTCTCCGCCTCGCCCTTTTCCGATCATTGCGAATTGGGCCAAATTCCAAATACCATTTGCAGCGCTCTCCTCCCGGTCCCGCGTAGGTGAGACACCGGCGCTCACACACAACGTCTCACACAGCCATCCATGGTCGTGACCCAGCCAGACCTGCCCAGGCCTGCCGCCGATTGGTTGGCGGGTCGGCGACGGCTCGAAGCTTCCAGCGCGGGGAGAAAATTCTTTAGAATCGAGCCTGCAAAAAGAAACCCGTCGGCACCGGCCCCGGCAAAGTGATGATTTCCGATGCAGCAGGCCATCACAACGGCAGAGCAGCTCTGTGCGCTTGCGGAGCGGAGTGCGCGAGCGAAGCAGCTCGACACGGCGCGCTTGCTCTTCGGTAAGGCGCTGGACATGGCACCAGCTGATGAACAGTTGCTCCGAGCGTCCATCCGGCTAGGACGCGCAGGGTTGTGCCTAATGGCCGACCTGGCGGAGGATGCGCTCGAGGATGCGTCCGCTGCGTGGGCCGCAGTGCAGCGCGAAGCTGCTGAGGTGCCTGCCGATCATGCCGAGGTTCTTGCGCTGCTGGACACGATGTCCAACTCAGCTCTCTCACGGATGGCTCACGCAAAGGCGGCGCTCGGAAGGCGTGCGGCCCTCGCAGACCTCGCCGCCCTGCCCGCTGCGTTTAAATGCGGCGCTGGCGGCGCCGAGGCGGCTTGGCACCTTGTCATGCAGAGCTTTGACCTAGCTGACGGCGGCAAAGAGGCGTCGCAGGACGTGGAGGACGTGGACGTGGACATGGTGGCCGTCACACGGTGTGCGCGGCTGTTAAGCGAGGTCGTGGAGGAGAGCTCCGCCCCCGATTTCCACGAGAGCAAGGCACTCTCGCTGCTGGACGACGCCCTCGCCGCGTGTCCGTCCCGCCAGCGCGCGGTGCGCTCACTGTTGCTGCTCTCGCGCGCCGCCTCGCTCCATCGAGAGGAGCGGGACGAGGCGGCCGATGCGGACTTATCGGTTGCGCTGCAGCTGACTGAGGCGCGGTGGGTCGAGGAGTGCTCGCTCAAGCTGCGCATGGCTTGCAAGCTGCGGGCGGGGGACGTGGCGGCGGCGCGGCGCGACTTGAGTGCCTTGCAGCAGCGGCAGTGGGGGCATGCTTTCCCAAAGCCGGCGACTTGGGAGCTTCACGGCGCGCAGCAGCCTCTCATCGAGGCGCTCCTTGGTGCCGGCCGCTGGCTGGCACTCGAGCGCTCAGTCCACCCGATCAACGCCCAGTTTGCTGAGAGCGAGGCTGCGGCAACGGCGCTCCTCGCAGAGGAGGAGGCGGCGGCGGCGGCGGCAGTGGCAGTAGCAGCGAAGGGCGGTAGCGCCCAAGGCAGGGGCGGGAGGGGCGGCAAGCGGAACAAGAGGGGACGCGGCGGTGGCGCGGCCGCCGCCGGCGCCGCCGGCAGGAGGATTTGCCGGTTGGGGGCCACCGCGTCGCCAGTCGATTGCTCCCCCTCACGAGACGCTCCTTCGGGCGGCGGGGCAGGAGCGGCAGAGAGGGAGGCGGCGGCGGAGAGGGAGGCGGCCGAGGAGAGGTCGCGTGATGAGCTGAGGGAGCGGCTGGAGCGAGAGGCGCGCTGGGAGGCGGCGCAGGCGGCGCGGGATGCTGCTGCTGCTGAAGAGGCGGCGGCGGCGGCGGCACTAGAGGCGGGCGACGCTGAGGTTCCATCGGCATTGCTGCACGAAGCCATAGACGCACCGCCTCCGGTGCTGGAGGTTGGCGCCGCCGAGGTGCGTAGCTCGAGTGCAAATAGATGTCTCCCTCTCTCTCTCTTTCTCTCTCTCTCTTTCTCTCTGACCTGCTAGTTCTGCTTGCTGCAGGTGACGGCAGCGCTCGAGGCGGCAGGCGCCGAGGAGGTTGGCAAGGGGGGCTTCGGCGTCGTCTATGCGGTGGAGCTGCCCTCCTTCTCCGGCTGGGGCCGCGTCGCAATCAAGCGCGCGCTGCCGGGCCAGCCCGACGACAGCGTGAGCAACATGATGGACGAGGTTGCGCTGCTGCGCAAGTGCGCCCACCCCAACGTGCTGCCGCTCCTCGGCTACTGCGCCGAGGAGAAGGCGGTGTGCATGGTGACGCCGCTGATGCGGGGCGGCTCGCTCGACGACCGACTCCTGCTGACGCCCGCCGCGCGGGCGAGGCTGCGGCGGCTCGGCTTGCAGGGCCGGCTCGAGCTGTCGTGGGCGCAGAGGCAGTCGGCCCTCGATGCGAAATACAGATACAGACCCGTAGGTTCCAACTAGAGCTGGGGGCGACACGCGCTCGGCTGTACCTCACTGCATCGCAGCCGCATTCACGCGGTTCGGAGCCATCGTCTTCACGCGATGCTCGGACGTCACTGCACGACACCGCATTCGCGCCCTCAGCTCCCTGTACGATGGTGGTACTCACAAACCAGGCTGTCGGCTCTCTGTGACGCCGCGCGGGCGCTCGTGCACCTCCACGGGGCGAGTGGGCGAGAGATCCTCCACCGCGACGTGAAGACGGGCGAGCCTCACAGACCGCCGCGCGTCACTCCCCGCACGCTTCGCTCGCCGACCCGCCCCCCCTTGCGCGCCAGGCAACATCCTGCTCGACGGCTTAGCGGTGCCGCTGCGCCGTGCCGGCGGCCCGCCGCGCCACCACGTCTACCGCGCCTTTCTGTCGGACGTCGGTGCACGGGCGGCGGCCGCGTGGACTCGCAGACTCCGCCTCGCCACCTCACTCCCCCCATTCTCTCGCGTGGCAGGGCTCGCGAGGGCGCGCGGCGCGCGGGAGACGTCTGCTACACACGCGACGACGTACGGCGCTTACTTCTCCAACGGGTTCGTCTGCCCCATCTACCTCGACTCGAACCAGCACTCGGCCAAGACGGACGCATACGGAATCGGCATCTCGCTGCTGGTGGCGCTGACCGGCGAGCCGGCCAACGGCTTGCGCACCCGGTGGGAGGACACGCTGGCAGACCTGGCCGAGGGCGGCGGCGGCTCGGAGGAGCTGCGGCAGCGTGCGCGGCGCGTCGCGGGCTGGCCAGAGTCTGTGACGGTCGCGCTCGCGCGTGTGGTGCACGGCTTGAGCGTCGCGCGAAAGTCACACCGGCAGCCGCTGCCCAAGGCGCTGGCGGAGATGGAGGGGCTGCTGCTGGACGGCCACGGCGACGGTGAGGGAGGCGGCGAGGGCAGCGAGAGTGGCGGCGAGAGCGGCGCCGTCGGCGACGAGGGCCTTGAAGGGGCTCGTCCAAGGAACGGAGGCGACCTGACACGGGTGGTGGGGCGGCTGCACAACCTCGCTGTCAGCGACGGAGGCGATGCTTCGCTCGCCCGGCTGCAAAGGCACGTGAGCGAGGCTTTCGACCTCATGATGCTCCGACTCGAGCGCAAGTACGCCGAGGAGGGGCTGCCGCCGCTGCCGGCGGAGCTCTCTGAACGCGACAAGATCAACGCGCTGGCGCCGCGCAGCCACTGTCCGACCTTGAGGGGCCACGCGCACATGCTGCGCGGCTGGCGCAACGCCGCCGTCCACGAACGTAGCAAGTGGCGGCAGCCACCGAGCGACGCAGACGTCTCGCATGTGATTCAAGGGGTGATGTCAGAGCTAGAGAGACTCGGTTGGTGAAAGCGAGACCTCTCTGTCCTCTGTGCCGCGGGCCGCGCATCTACGTATCTCTCGTACGTGTATTTTACGATGGCGTTTTATCTTCTATCGCGGTGCTTTTTGTCCTTCAGAGAGAGGGCTGGCTGGTTGCAGGGTCAGGGCGGGGTGGCTCTCGAGTCTCGTGACCCATGTCCCTAGTGCCTCCCAGTTGGATTCGTTCGACGAGTCGCACACCGTTGGAAAGCTCTTTTAAAAGTCCGTCGAAGTCTACACGTCGCTTTCGAAGTCTCGGTTTTTTGATTTTGATTTTGGCCATTGCATCGTTTTGCTCGAACGTCCACGCGGGGTCACTATGGAGCCGAACGAGACGACCCTTGTGGAGCAGCTTGCCCTTCTCAACGATGTAGAGGGCGTCTCCAACGCCATCGACAGCAAATATGACGGCCCCATTTTGAACAACATGACCGTCACGTACTACGTGGCTTCCCTGACGTGTCCCGCTCCAGTGCGAGCGTGACACTGCACTTGGCGCCGAGCGCCCGCGGCTCAGACCTTGGAACGAGTCACACACACACACCGCTCACCCACGCGCACCGGGCCTTGCACTTTAAATGCCGTGGGGCTCCTGTCGTTAGACGTGGAGACGCGAGGGTTGCCCCCCCTTGCCCCACCACCTCGTGTGTGTGGAGAAGTTTACCTTACCTTACCTTACCTTCGAACGAGTACTGCCGCCTGGCCGCCTCAAGGCTGCCGGGCGGCAGTACTCGCCTCGCAAGGCGCGCACCGGCTGCTCTGGCTGCTGCGCCGGCGGCCGCTGCGCTGGCCGCTGCTGCACCGGCTGGCGGGCGGCACGGCCGCCGGCGGCCGCTGCGCCCGCGCCTTCCCTCGCGGGCGCCGTCGCGCCGCGCGCGCCCAACTCTGCTGGCACACGGCACGCGTCGTCACACAGCCGCGGAGAATAGGCGGTGCAGCGCGCGAAGCGCGCGCGATCTCGTACTTTTAAGGCTGGATCCGGCCATTCCAAGGGTATACCTTTGAGAATCCCCAGCGTCCCACCCTCCTAGTCACACTCTCAATATCTCGACTAGCCAACACGAAGTGCTGCGATCGGGAGTGGCCCATTTCTTTTTTATTTTCTTTTTTGGGTCCTGTGGCCCGCCGGCAGCGCGAGCTGCCGGCCACATTGAGCGGTTCGTCCGCGTCGCGCACTCGTCCCAACCGGGGGCCGCTGACTCGTTCTGCGCGCCAACGGCTGGTGACGCTGTGTTGCCCTTGAGCTAGTCCTTCCCCGGTCGCCTAGCCTCTGCGCTGTCTGGCGGACGCCTGTATGCCATGCGCGCGGACCACGCTTGCGTGGATTTGTGGCTGGCAGGCTGACCCGTGTGCGGGGTAACCCGCGCGCGGGGAAGCTTCACGGGTTCGAGTCGTCAAACATTGAGCAGCGGAGGTGTGCCGAGGGGGACCGGGAGGCGGTAAGTCGTCGTCGCCCGGCGCTGCTTGCAGCACCATGGCGAGGGCGCTAAGAGGTTCCTCTTTTCCGCGCCCCTCCCCGCAAGGCGCGCGATACACACGGGCACCCTACCAACAGAGTACAGAGAGTCCGCCGCACGAAACCGAGACCCCTCTGATCCCCCCACCCCCTTGCTAATATAAGGGCCCCTCGATAGGGCCGGACAGAGGCACACACACACACACACACACACAGGCGGTTTTTTCACGTACAGGCGCCTGGCTGGGGACCCCGCAAAACCCGCTTCTAGCCAGACAACGCCCCGGGCTGGCGGCGCCCGCTGCCAGCCGCGAAATCTGAGGTGCGGCGCTCTACGGATCGCTGGTCGTGAGGCATTGCCATCTTTGCCCGAGTGTCCGTGTCCTTCGCGAGTCACCGATGGGGAGCGGGGGGGGGTGCGAGATGCACAGGGGAGGCTGGGGAGGGGGGGGTCCACTCTGAAGACTGCCGACCGCGGGGGGGGTTTTGTCCCACAGGGTTTTACCCTCCGCGTGAGGATCGGCGCGGCGAGGGGGTAGGTTCGAATTCGCCGCGCAACATTTCACCCCCACAGGACCCCGCCCACCCCCCCTCATGGTCCCACCTAGCACCCCAATGAGCTTTCGCACCCCCTCCTTGCGCAGTGTCCCCCACTATGTGTCGCCGTCTTCGGGGCACGCTATCCTGTGCAGTCAGGGCAAGTGGGGGCGAGGCGCAGTCCCATCTCTCCTGTGTACGGGTGGGTTCTGTCCCTAGTCTCGGAGGGGGGCTTGAAGCTAAGAATATTTTATTTTTGCAAACGTCAGCACGGGCACGCAGCGGAAGCATGAGGAAGGAATCTGAGACGCCGTCCTGTATGTTTGAGGCAATCCGAGCGGACGTTACGGCTATCGGCTTGGTTCCTGGTGGGCGGACACGGACACGCATGCTCTTTTGGTGTGGAACGATTCATGATCATGGTGACGCTGTGTTGCCCTTGAGCTAGTCCTTCCCCGGTCGCCTAGCCTCTGCGCTGTCTGGCGGACGCCTGTATGCCATGCGCGCGGACCACGCTTGCGTGGATTTGTGGCTGGCAGGCTGACCCGTGTGCGGGGTAACCCGCGCGCGGGGAAGCTTCACGGGTTCGAGTCGTCAAACATTGAGCAGCGGAGGTGTGCCGAGGGGGACCGGGAGGCGGTAAGTCGTCGTCGCCCGGCGCTGCTTGCAGCACCATGGCGAGGGCGCTAAGAGGTTCCTCTTTTCCGCGCCCCTCCCCGCAAGGCGCGCGATACACACGGGCACCCTACCAACAGAGTACAGAGAGTCCGCCGCACGAAACCGAGACCCCTCTGATCCCCCCACCCCCTTGCTAATATAAGGGCCCCTCGATAGGGCCGGACAGAGGCACACACACACACACACACAGGCGGTTTTTTCACGTACAGGCGCCTGGCTGGGGACCCCGCAAAACCCGCTTCTAGCCAGACAACGCCCCGGGCTGGCGGCGCCCGCTGCCAGCCGCGAAATCTGAGGTGCGGCGCTCTACGGATCGCTGGTCGTGAGGCAACTGGCAAAGATGGCCCTTCCGGCCCTCCGCTGCACCATCCGCGGCGGCACGCTCGTCACCCCGTCGGGCACGCGACGCGCCGACCTCGGCATCGGCGACGACGGCAGGATCGCAGCGATCGAGCCGTCGCTGCCTGCCGGAAGGGAGGACATCGACGCGACCGACCTCTTCTTGCTGCCTGGCGGTGTCGACTCGCACTGCCACATCGAGCAAAGGACTTCCAGCGGCCTCACTCCGGTCGACGACTTTTACTCGGCCAGCGTCAGCGCCCTCGCCGGCGGTACCACGACCGTCGTGCCGTTTGCGTGCCAGCACCGCGGCAAGCGGATCCGCGACGTCGTCGCCGACTACCGAGCGGTTGCGGCTAAGGCTGCAGTCGACTATGCCTTCCACGTCATCGTGACTGACCCGAGCGAGACGCACGCGATCGATGACCTGCAGGCCTGCTTCGCGCATGGATGCTCCTCGGTCAAGGTTTACATGACCTACGACGCGCTGAAGCTCAACGACACGGAGATGCTGGACGTGCTCGAGCTCTGCAGGCGGCACGCGGCGATGGTGATGGTGCACGCCGAGTCCCACGACCTCATCGCGTGGATCACGAGCCGGCTGCTCAACGCCGGCAGGATCGCCGCAAAGTTCCACGCTGTCGCGCGGCCCGCCATCGCCGAGCGAGAGGCGACGCACCGCGCCATCTCCTTTGCCGAGTTCATCGGCACGCCCCTCCTCGTCGTCCACGTGTCAGGGCGCGAGGCGGCCGACGAGATCGCTCGCGCGCGCCACCGCGGAGTGCCCATCTACGGCGAGACTTGCCCGCAGTACCTCACTCTCACGCTGCGCTGCCTGTGCGCGCCTTTGGACGGCAGCAAGTTCCTCTGCTCGCCGCCGCTGCGCACCGAGGCCGACCAGGAGGCGCTCTGGGAAGCGCTGCGGCGCGGCGACCTACAGGTGGCCAAGATGTAGCCGAGGTCTAGCCGAGATGTAGCCGAAATTTAGCCCGAGGTATGGCCGAGGTGTAGCCGCGGTGTAGCGGAGGTGCACAGTCGAAGAGTCGCTGAGATGCGGCCGAGGTGGGTGTAGCCGAGGTGAGGTGCAGCCGCCACTTGCAGGTGATCAGCAGCGACCACTCGGCTTACAACTTTGCGGGCGGCGGCGACGCCTCCAAGACGGCGGGTGGGGCGAGCACGCCCTTCAGCAAGGTGCCGATGGGGCTGCCCGGCCTCGAGTGCCGCATGCCGCTGCTCGTGTCGGGCTACCTGCACGGGCGGCTCGACAGCCTGCAGCAGGTGGCGCGCCTCGGCTGCGAGATGCCGGCGCGCCTCTACGGGCTATACCCGCGCAAGGGCGTGCTCGAGGTCGGATCGGACGCGGACGTGGTGCTGTGGGATTTGGAAGCGAGGGGCAAGATCACAAAAGAGGCGCTCCACGACGAGCTCGACTACACGCCGTTCGAGGGGATGGTGGTGCGCGGAGAGGTCCGCCGCACGATCCTGCGCGGCCGCACTGTCTTTGAGCGCGACACCGCTTGCTGCCAGCCCTGCGGCGGCGGTGGTGGAGGGCGCAGCAGTCGGGTGACCGCCCCGCGAGGCTCCGGCGAATACATCGCGTGCGTCAAGCCGGCGCTGCCCGACTGGTCCGGCGAGTGGCCTGACGGAGGGGATGTCGTGGCAGAGCGCTGCATCGGCCTCTTGGGCCCGGCGCTGGACGGCGAGGTGGCGGAGGGCGAGGGCGGGGTGAGCGGCGTGCTGCCTCCCTCCCTGCCTCCAAGCCCACCTCCCGGATCTGGCGTCCCCTCTCAGCTGACGCTGCGTCCGCTGCGCGGCGTCGGCGTCGAGGTGCTCGGAGTGAGTGCAGCCTCAATCAGCGAGGCGGCCGAGGGCTCGCCGCTCTTGCGTCGGCTTGCCGCTGTGCTCGACGAGCATTTGCTAGTTCTGCTGCACGGGGACAGCGGCGGCGACGGCGACGGCGAAGGCGTGAGCTCTGGGCGGCTGTCGCCCTCACAGCTTCGGCAGCTCTACTCCAAGCTTCACGCGGTGCGCTTCCCCGGCGTGAGTGTCGGCCTCCCGCCCGAGCGGCCGCCGCCGTCACCCATCGAGCTGGGTAGCACAAACTTGCGTGGCCGGTGCTTCCCCGGCTATCCAGAGACCAACGTGGTTGGCTTCGCCGCGGCGGTGGATTGGCATGGGCTCAAGGGCAGGCTGGAGCCGTCGGCGTGGTGGGAACGGCGCGGCGGGCAGTACCATCACGACGGCGGCTTCTCTGCCTCCGCGCCGCCGCCCCCCGCTCTCGTGGCGATGTACTGCGAGGAGGCTCCATCGGTGGGGGGCGGCACCCGATTCTTTTCCACCCGGCTTGTGATGGAGCTCGCGCCGCCGGACGTGGCGGCCCGTGCGCGGCGCATGCGTTGCCGCTACACGAGGGGCTTTGGGCGCGTGAGCGCCGGCGAGTACCCGGTCATGAGCTGCAGCCACCTGACGCCGACGGCGCCTCCACCGTCCGAGCGCGACGGCGCAGCAGCAAGTCCGCCCTACCAGAGCATCACCGAGTTTGAGAGCCTCGAGGCGCTCGCGTTTGGGCATGGCGGCGCCGACGCCGCCGAGTACTACCACCGGCTCGTGCAGCGGGACTCGCGCGGCCGCGAGTATGTGGTGGTCCACTCTGTCTGCCTCGACCGGCTGGAGGAGCTGCTGGGGGAGGGGGGGGAGGGGGGGGAGGAGCGCGGGGAGGCCAGCGAGTGGCAGCCGTGGTCGTGGTCGGAGTCCCAAGCGTTTGTGGAGGCTCTGCTCGCGCCCGCGGCCGCGTCACCGACCGAGCTCGCCTGGACTCCCGGCGACGTGGCGCTGTGGGATAACCTGCAGACCCAGCACAGCGTCACGCCGTCCGAGGTGTACACAAGCGACCCGAAACAGCGGCGCCTCATGACGCGAACGGCGATGCAGCCGCTGCAGGACGTCCTAGCATCTTAAAAGGTCCCCATGCCAGTTTCGGAGGGCAAACCCTGCCCGGCCCTTAGAACCCCAGATAAGGCCCAGGTGTGGCCTAGAGGGCATCAGAGAAGGGGGACCAAGAGGAGTCGAGTCTGAGCCGCCCCGCATAGAGCCCATGTCTTTGCCCCCGAAGGGGTCGCGTTCAAATGCCCGGAACGGCCGTCTCAGTGGCTGTCCGGCCAGCGCTATCACCGTCGCACGGGCGGGGACCTGTTCCTTTTTACCCATCTCACAGTAGAGAGGTGTCCGTTTTTATTTATTTATTTGGGCAAAAACGGGCGATGAATTGAGTTCTTTTTCTTGTACCCCCCAGCCGTAGGCGTACGTAGCCGCGCAGGCGCGGGGGGGCCAGAGGGTGTCCATGCGGGGGGGGGGGAGATGGGGTCGCGTGGCCCGCCGCAGGCGCCGATTTTTTCGGAGTTTCTTTTCGAGGGTTTTTACTTGTTTTCATGGGAATTCGGCGGACTTGCGGCCATGCTATCACGCCTTGCGACAGCCTGTCGGCGCTGCTGACCGTGCCATGATGCACAATTGATCACCTGCATAGCTCGCGGCCTTAGTATCAAGCATTCAGTGACGACCTGATCGTACGGCCAGTAGGAAGGTGTCCTTCCATCGTGTGCACGCTTCTGGCGCAATGCGCGTCGCCTCGGATTGGCTGCTGGCACTCTTGAGGCTATGCCTACACAGCCTCGCGCGCATGGGCAGTCAAGAGGGACCACGCACCTTCTCAGGACAGCGCCGGTGCCTCTCTCTTGGACCGGCAAACTTGGCGGTCTCGTGTCACCAATGTGGGACCAGTGCGGCATCGCGCCATCGACAGCTCTGAACTGCGCCTCACCACTGACCGGTAAAGGCCGCCAAGTGGGCCAGCACAGGTCGCACATTGTGGCAGCAGTCAGCAGTGCATGTCTGATAGCTAGAGCAGCAGCGTCAGGGTCGCAGGGTCGGATCGTGTCAAGCCTCTCGCCCGGCCGGCCGTGTGCAGATGTCGGCCTGTCTGCTGTCTGGAGTGATCTGTCGGCGGTCAGTACGACCAATCAGGTCGGAGTTTTCTGATGGTTGGAGGGTCTATCTGTATGTACTCCTCGAGATCTCTCCACATCTGCCCTCTAATCAACCGTAATCATTCGGGAAGTTGGTACACATAGCACATGGCGCTCACCATCCCTGGCGTACTGAAACAGGCGACGCGTGCCGCTGTCTCTAAGATGGAAGCAGGAAGCCTCCAACCCGGCCGTGGTTCGAACCCACATGTACATGTGCCGAAGCGTGAAGGCGTTGAGGGCCATGAGATCTGAGGCTCACCCATTGAGGAAGTGAGGAACTGCTCGACCCACCCGGATCCTGCTGAACAAGCTCCTCTTGTAGCTCGATCGGTCACACCGCCATCGCCGTCGGGGAGAGGGGGGACGACACTGCTTCGGCAGCGTGCACCTCGATCCTGTACCGTGTTTGCTATGACCCCCCCCAATGAACACTCCAGTGAGGGAGGGCGAGACGATCGAGGGGTCCCGTACCACGCGGAATCGACCCTATCCAGTGCTCAAGTGCTCAAGTATGAGCGAGTATGAGCGCCGGAGCCCCGTTTCCGCACTGCTGCGCGGCGCACGGTGCCTCCGGGGGCCCCCGCGACCCCCCAGAGAACTCTTGCCGCTCTTCTGTGTCGGGTAGTGCGACGAGGGGTTAGGCGGCTTAGGGGACAGAGATTGAAGATCCCTCACACCAAGATCGCTAGCTGCTGCGCTGCCCCTCCTGCCTCTCGAGTCCGATCATCAGCTCCGATCTGATTCTGAGTGAGTGTCCCAGTCCGACAACCAGCAGCCGCATTCGTCGCAATGTGCCGGCACCATCCACGGCTGCCATTGCCGCCGCCGCGCCCGCACCGAGAGCGGCGGTGCGGCAAGGAGAGGGGCGAGCCCGTGCCGGTCGGATGGCGTCGAGGCGCCCATCTTGCACTTTGGCGCGCGCGTCGGCCAGGTCACCACACTGGTGTGAGTGTAGGTAGGTGTCTCGCGCCTTGCGGGGGGGGGCGGAAAAGAGTACCCTACCTATTCCCAAGAGTACCACTCTTGGAGCGCCGCCACCACCGCCCAGAGCGCAGGTACACTGGCTGGCTGGTGCTCGCTCGAGAGCGAGGACGGCGGCCGGCCCTCTGGCATCACTCGGGCTGCGCTGCGACGAGAGAGATATTGTAACAGATTGGAGAGAAGGAGGCAGACGGCCGGGAGCAAAGATGAGAGAAGGGTACCAGTCATAGCACCACACTGCCCCGGATCGCCGGGCTTCGAACGGCGGGCGCCGGATTCGATCCATCCAGGGTCATGATGATATTAGAGGCACAAGGGACGGACCGCCGGCGACCGCCACGACGGCTAGGAAAGCCGCGCCGCGGGGTCACACTGCCAACCGGGCGGCTATATGCGCAGCATGATTCTCGCGCTCCTGACGTGGGCGTCCGCTTCCACGTCCGCGGCGGGTTTTTTCACCATCGCCAGCAGCGCGATGACGCAGGCGTCGAAGAAGAAGCGATGCAGGCTGCCGAACGGAAAGCGCATGGTGCCATGGGCAGACGTGATCACGCGCTGCTATGCAGAGAAGAATCCCGACTTGCTGAAGGTTTGCACGTCCCGCCAGTGTCCCAACTCTGTGGCCTGCTATGCGCCTGTGACGCGAGTGTCGTGCTGCCTGCCACGCCGAACGCAGCGCACGCTTCTGGGCCCCTCCTTACTGTTCTCAGCCCGTCGTACAGGCTTTCTGCGGAACATCGAGTGCAGAGGGCTCAACCACCTGCGACAAGATGGCCCTATATCGGTTGCGCTGCCATTACGCCAGCCATGGGGTGCAGGAGAATCGACCAGTCTGCAGCAAGTCCGACGTTGTGCAAAAGATCCAGTCGGAGGCGACAGAAAAGATAAAGAGCCTCAGAGAGGTGAAGAATGCAACCGGCACAGAGGAGCATGGAGTGACCCTGCCCCGCAAGCACCCTAGCGTGCGGATAGTGCGTCCGAACGAGCCCTCGCCCGAGGAGGGTCCGAGGTGGGTGTGGCCCGAGCGGTACGCCCCTGTGCGAGGAGTCACGGACGCGTGCTCGAAGGTTGACTTCAACATGAGGGGAGCGACGGCGGACACGCGCTGCCGGCATTTCCTCCGCTCGCGAGTGACGGCGCCAAATTGCAGCGGCCGGCCGGAGATGGTGCCGCGAGTCCTCCACATGACAGGCAAGGGGCCCACTCCCAACTTTGCCATGGGCATCAACATCAAGGCCAACCCCTCCTTCTTTCCGGCCTACCGCGACGACGCTGCAATGCGCACCTATGTCGAGCAGCACTGTGGGCAGGAGGCAGCACTCGCGCTCGACTGCTTCGTCGCGCCGGCATTCCGCGCAGACCTGTTTCGTCACTGCGCCCTCAAGACGCACGGGGGGGTGTATGTCGACGGCGACCTCATCCTCACCGTGCCGCTCGAGCGGGCCATCTCGATGTGTAACGGCGCCACCATTGGCCAGGATCCAGCTCGGGGAGGTTTCCTCAAGGGCAAGATGTCGAGCACCCTGCGGCACATCAATGGCAAGCAGATGAAGATCCTGGCCGCTGGCAGGGGGCACCCGCTCTTCGTGTGCATGGTGCGCGAGATCATCGCGCACGTCAAGCAGCGGTACGTGACCCCCTACTCGCTGAACTACACGGGCCCCGCACTCCTGGAGCACTGCTACCAGTCGCTCGGTGGCGACGAGTCCGCGCTCGACGTCGCGGTCACGTACCGCGACAGTCGAAATGCCAAGTGGCCCTATGGGGGGATGATTGGCACTGACGGCATGATTGCCTTTGAGCAGCCGAACCGGTACGACTACCAAGAGCTCGTGGACGAGACGGCGCGCGCGAGGGGTGGGCATTACGACGCGCTGGTTAAGGCGGGCGTCGTCTACTCGCCCACTTGCAAGCTGCGCGCTTCCGCGGAAGCGCGGGGACCTCCTCCGTGAACGCTGACGAACGTTTTTTATTTTTATGGGAGCACGTGTGGATGAGTTTTGAGAAATACGTGAAAGCAGCCTTCGCATAGGCGGGTCGGCAAGTCGGCCCGACAGCACAGCCGTCCCCCGAGTTGTTGGTGGCTGCGCCTCCGCTGCCGCCGCCTCCGCTGCCGCCGCCTCCGCACGAAGGATACATTGTGCCTATATGCGTTGCGTGCTCGCGCTCCTGGCGCTTGCGTTTCGTTTCACCGACGCCTGTACTGCGTACGCTGTCGGAAAGGGCGCATCGGTCGACGGGAGTGTAATGCTCTCCCATTCAGAAGATTCGTCCAACACACACGATCCAAGGATAGCATTCGTGCCAGCGGCAGATCACGAGGAGGGATCAAAGATGCCGGTGTACCCAGACGGCGAAAACTACCCGCGCTTTGTTGGCGTTGATCGTGGCTCGACGTATGAGCCTGTGGGGGCGCAAAAGGCGACGAAGCCGCTCGGGTATATTGATCAGGTGTCGCACACCATGGCATACATTGACAGCACGTATGCGATGCAAAACGAGTGCCACCTCATGTTCGGCGAGTCGACCGCTTCGTCTGCGTTTCGCGCTCTTGATAAGGCCGCGGATGGTGGCACGGCCCTCTTTTGCGTGAACGAGCTGACCCGAGTCGCAGCCCAGCGCGTGTGCAGCGCGCGTGAGGCAATCAAGCTGATGGGGAGCCTCGCAGAGGAGCACGGCTTCTACGGAGCCGATGGAGGCGCGGGTGAGGTCCTGATGGTGGGAGATACGGAGGAGGTCTTCATATTCCACATCCTATCCGACCCCACAAAGAAGAGCGCAATCTGGGTCGCGCAGCGCGTCCCCGACGACCACGCTGCCGTGATCGCGAACTGCTTTTCCATCCGCGAAGTGGACCTCGACGACTCGCACACCTTCCTTGGGTCGTCCAACATGAAGTCGATCGCGCTCGAGTACGGCCTGTGGGACGGCAAGGGCCTGCTCGACTTTAGCGGCGCCTTCAGTGGGGGTGAATACGCCTCCAAATATTATACCGGTCGTCGCGTTTGGGACGGGTATCGCCGTTTCGCACCGTCGCTCAAGCTTAACCCCGAGTATGGCTCCTTCAAGCTCGACCGCCCCTACCCAGTGTCAGTCAAGGTGGACAAGAAGCTGAGCGTGCACGACCTCATGGCTGCGAGCCGGTCGCACTACGAAGGCACTGAGTTTGACATGACAAAGGGCCTCGCCGCCGGCCCCTTTGGCTCGCCGGATCGCTATGGGGAGGGCAAGGGTCAACCTGGCTATTCGAAGCCACCCCAGGGGGCGTGGGAACGGACGGTGGGTCTCTTTCGCACGACCGGCACCAAGATCATCACGGCCAACAGCAATCTGCCCGACGCGGCGGCGGGGACGGTCTGGTGGGCGGCAGGCGACTCCTCCAAGTCGGTGTATGTGCCGAGCATGGTGTCTGCCGGCAGTGTGCCAATGTCGCTCTCGCTTGGAAACGAGGCGGAACTGGACCGCGGCTCCGCCTTTTGGGCGCACCGCTACATTGCCAACCTCGTCCAGCTGCGCTACAACTTGATGATCCGCGACGTCAACGCAAACGCCAAGCACTGGGAGGACCGCGCCACCGACGTTGTCCAAACCGAGATTTACCAGGTGCGCTCAGCTTGAGAAAGAGCAGTAGCTGCGGGCCCTGACCCCATTCTGGCCGCCCGACGCAGGCGTGCCGCAAGAAGTGCAGCCCGGAGCAAATTCGGGCCAAATTGGACGCCCATGCTGCCGGCGTGCTCAACGCAACGTGGTCGTTGGCAGACCAGCTGATGGTCAAGTTCGCCAACGGCGGGCTGACAACTGGCTTAAGGCCGGACGGGTCGGTCGAAAGCGTGAACCTCGGCTACCCATGGTGGTGGTACGCGCTGGTGGGGACGTACGTTATGCACGGCAACGAGCACCCAAAGCGGTGAGCGACCCGTGCATGCGCCGGCCCTGCTGCGGTGAATGCTCACCCGACGTTCTCCGTTGTAGCGTGGGGAACTTGCCTGGCGGCGAGACCTGGGGAACGGGCGCCGCGGAGAAGCCGGGCCCGCCTTCGTCCTTCCTAGTAGCGCGCCTCGGCTCGCTTCGCACCGCGCTCGCCGCGCACTCGCCGGCAGGCTGGCTAGCGCTTGGCTGCGCAACCGCGCTGGTGTCGGCCGGGTTCTTGACGCGGCGAGGCCGCGACGTCTTCATCCGCGGCGGGTCCGAGAAGGCACCCCGCGTCGCAACGGCAGTACCCGAAGACGGGTACACTGCGTTCGCCGCGTGACGGCACGGGACAGTGCTCAGTGTTGCGTGATGGTTGTGTGCCCGCGGATTCCACGTGACGCCGCAGGCGCGGCGAGGCAGGTGAGCTACGGATGCACGCCTGGTGCCGACTTCGTGATCGTGTGAAAAAAACACTCCTCATATTATGGCGCCGCGCGCTAGTCGATAAAATAATTTCGCTGAAGTGTACAAGGTAAGGTAAGGTAAGGTAAACTTCTCCACACACACGAGGTGGTGGGGCAAGGGGGGGCAACCCTCGCGTCTCCACGTCTAACGACAAGTGTACAGGCAGGCGCGTGGGTGCTCGCGTCCACCCATTTACCCCGTTGGTGTCCAGTCCGAGCCTGACTGTTCTTCACCATCGATACACACATACATGCCCGTGCATTAGCAGTTTTTGATGCCGCTTGCGGAGACGGGCATGCGCGCGCACCACATTCGGTATTCATCCAGTAGGTTGCGCTTGATGTCAGGGCGGATGGTTGACTGATCGTGCGTCTCGCCGATGTCATCTCTCAGATTGTAGAGCGCCACTCCACCCTTGCTGCCGTGGGAATAAAAGTTGGAAAGCTTCCAATCGCCCCAGCGCACAGCAAAATGTCTTCCATCCATCCAGAAGAGCAGGTCGTGCGGCCGTCGGCTCGTCGCCTCCCCTGTCACGAACGGCAGGAGGTTCGCGCCGCTGAGGTCCGCCCCGCTTGGAATGACGGCGCCCGCGGCGGCCAAGAAAGTCGTGTAAAAATCGAAGCTCATCACCGGCTCTGTGTACACCTGAGAGAGTCGAACACGGAGGCGCGCTCAGCAGGGCGCAATTGAGTTGTCGGTAGCGCGACCTCGATGCTATTCACTAGGGGAGAGAGGGCTGGGCCTGGCCGCGAGGGATCGTGCCCGGCCACCGCATGATGAAGGGCACGCGGATGCCGCCTTCGGCCAACTGATTCTTATTGCCGCTGAGCGGCCCGGCGCTCCCCATCAGCATGATGTCTGGCCACTCGCGCGCGATAGCGCGGCGCGGCCCCGAGATCGCCCGAGATAGCGCGAGATCGCCCGAGATAGCGCGGCGCGGCCCGGGGCGGGGTGGATGGGTTGGGAGCGAGGGGGCGGAAGTGTTCAGTGCGGTAGATGGCGAGCTCGAGGCGCGTGAGCCGGACTTGGGAGCCGGACCACCCCCTCTTGTTATCTGCGTTGTTGAGCCAGGACTCAACATACTCGGGCTTGCAATCCCAAACTGTCACTCCCCTTTCTCCCGGCCGGGGTGGGGCGGGGCGCGCGCGGGTGGCGGCGGGTGTGCGGGATGTCTGTGGGCCCGAGAGCGATATGCCATGTCCGCCTTGCTTTGTTTCCTAACATCGAAGGCTAAGCTCAACAAAAAAAAGGATGATTTCCGCCCGCTTTGCCCCACAAACGACCGGTTTGCCCCCACAAACGACCGGTTTGCCGCCCCTGGCGGCGCGTCGCTGCCTCCGCCCTCGCCCCCCTCTCACCGCCCCTCCGCCTGAACGCGCACGCAGGCGGCGGGCCATGAGCTCCGACAGCGGCTACGACTCGAAAACACGGAAGCAGGTCGTCTCCGAGCTCACGATGCAGGGCCTGGTCGCGCTCGGGGCCATCATTACTCTTGAGCGTGTGGACTGGGAGCTCCAGCCGTACGCGTACGCGGCCGTCACCAGCGACCTCGAGACCGACCGCGCGCAGGCTAGCGGTATCGAGGCGTGGTATCCTCGGGTCAAGCGGGCTGAAGAAAACCGCGACCCGGCACTCGACACGGGCGGCCTGCTGCGGGCTCTTTCGGACCGCTACCTCCCCGCGCTCTTCGGCGCCGAGCTCAACACCACCACCGGCAAGGAGTGGTGGATGGCGACGATCGGGACCCTGCCATGCAGCATGCCGGCGGTGCACAACGTAGCGGGCAGGAAAGACGCGATCCTCAAGCGCGTCGAGCTCTTCCGCACCGTGGAGCGCACTTGCATCGTCCTCTTGCAGGACGCGGGGGCGCCCAACGGCTGCGGCACCCGCTTGGCGGCCGTGCCCGGCGGGGGGGCGGAGTCGCTCGGCGTGTGCAACGCCGAGGAGTTCCTCGCCGGCATCGTCGAGGCCACGGGCCTCTCCGAGGAGCAAGTCTTTGGCACGTGGACCAAAGCCGCCGACGTGCGCCCCCCCGCCGGCCCCGGGGGTTTTGTGGGGTGCGGTGTCGGGGTGGGGGCCTCGGGTTTTGGGGGGGGGGGTTTCCCCCGGGGCAAAAGGGGGGGAGAAAAAAAACCCGGGGGCCCGGGGCCCTTAAAAAGGGGGGGGCCTTTGGGGGGGGTTTTTTGGGAGCCCCTAACCTCCCCGGGTTTTTTGGGGGGGGGGGTTTAACCCCCCCCCCCGGGAAAGATGTGGGGGATGGCCACAATTGGGGCCCCTTCCAATACAGCAACCGGGGGGGGCCCCAAAGGAGGGGGGCGAGAAAAGAACCCATTCTCAAAGGGGGTGGGGGTTTTCCGGCCCCGTGGGGGGGCCCTTGTATTTTTCTTTTTCAGGAGGGGGGGGGCCCAAAGGGGTGGGGCCCCCCTTTGGCGGCCGTCCCCGGGGGGGGGGCGGAGTCCCTCGGGGTGTGCAACGCCGAGGAGTTCTTCCCCGGGATTGTGGAGGCCCCGGGCTTTTCCGGGGAGCAATTTTTTGGCCCGGGGGCCAAAGCCGCGGGGGGGGGCCCCCCCCCCCCCCCCCCCTCTCCCCCTCACTCCCCTCACCCTCACCCTCCACCGGCCCCGCTCTCTGCGTCTCCCACCCTCCCCTCACCGCCCGACCCGCGCCCCTCGACTTGTCAGCGGCCGGGCTGCGACTTCGGCGTCCTGCTCCGCCTGGCGCGGCGCAGCGGCAAGGACGTCGAGTACACCGACTTCTCCGACTCGGGCTGCTTCCCGAAGAACTCCGTTTTCGCGTCGCGGGAGGCGCGTCCCTCCCCCCTCCCTCCCTCCCCCCCCCCCTCCCCCTTCCCCCTTCCACCCTCGGCTGCGCAAGCAGGCTGGCGAACCCCCACCCACCTGGCGCGCACAGGTCACGGTCTCCGTCGGCGAGCAGCTCTACCACCTCTTCAGCCACATCAAGGACTTCGACGAGGCGGTCGAGTGCGTCGTCGGCTGGCGCGACCTGAACGGCTTCCTCGTGCAGGAGGTGCTGTCCTTCACCAAGCGCGACTTTGAGTCGCCGCCTTCGCACCAGGGCAAGGTTGGCTCGCGCGACGCGAATGGCTGCGTCGAGTACCTCAAGCTGCCGCTGCCCGGCCTGTGCGCCCGCCTCTTTTGGCAGATCAAGAAGGCGGGCGCGCCGCCTGTCGCGCCCGAGCAGCTCAGCCGAGACCCACGGGCCGTCGGCGCGTCCTCCCTCTGGAAGACGGTGCACTCTGTCAGCTTGGCGATCCCGCGGCTCCTTTGCCCGCCCGACCAGATCTGCGGCACCGGCGCCAACGGCCTCGGCTGGGCGTGCAAGCCGTTCGGCTCCGGCACCATCTTCTCGTTTACACCGTACGCCTCGCCCGCCTGCCCCCCTCCCCCTCCCCCCTCCCGCGTCAGCGCCTTCATCCCGTCTTCCCTCGCCCTCACGTGATCAGGTCGATGCTCGTCCTCCCCGGCCCCCTCGCCCTCCTCCGCCACCTGCGCCTCTACCTCCGCCGCCACCTCGTCGACGGCATCGTCCGCTTCCTGCCCGACGTCGTTCCCATCGTCGAGAGCTCGCGAGCCACCTTCCTCGGGCTCGTCGTGGAGCGGATCCTCGGCGACGCGCTCGTCGAGGGTGTCGTCGGCACGATCATGCCCTACCTGGTCGCCGAGCCCTCCTCCCTCCGCTCCGGCGTCGCCGCCCTGCTCGACTCGCCGCTGCTGCACGAGGGCACGGCGCTTGCCGACTTCCTGGTTCATGGATCGTGGGAGAACAACTCGCAGTCCGCGGACAACTTTGTCTCAGGCGTGCGGCGCCACTTCAAGCCCATCCTCGACTCCGCCCTCGCCGAGAACCTGCTCGCGCTCGTACACAGCGCCGCGCCGGGCGTCGAGTCTCTCGTCCACCCGGACGTGCGGGCGACCGAGGCCCTCCTCTCCTTTTCTTGGATGGGGCAGGGCGTCGGGCTGGAGCACCACCTCGCATGGCACGCCACGCCTCTGGCGGTGCGCCAGGCGCAGAACGACCAGCTGCGCACTGCACAGGCCGCCTACTCGGGGCCGGGCGGGGCGGGCCACGCGCTGCGCGAGGAGGCGCTGAAGGTGCGGCGCGACGGGCTGTCGGACAAGGCGGCAGCGGCGGAGGCGGCGGAGGCGGAGAAGCAGGCGGCGCTTGCGAGCGGAGGGGCAGCCGCTCATGTCGCCGAGCTCAAGCGCGACGAGCTGAAATCGTTTGTGCGCTCCAACGCCGGCGCTCTCGCCCCGCTCCTCGACGGCAAGCTGGTGAACGATTGGATCACCGGCCTCGGCTTCCGCGAGGCGCGCAGTGCGGTTGTCGCCCACGCCAAGGCCCATCCTCTCTCGTTGCAGCTGCCCGATGTGCCGGCGGCTCGGTCGTTGCCGCGGTCGGCGGCACGGTGCGGCTCGAGCTCGCGCGCGCCGCCGCCTCGTGCGTCGGACGGCCAGACTGGCCGCCGCGCGGGCAGCAAGCAGGCGGCCAAGCGGCCGCTCAACTCCTCCCCCCCCCGAAAGGGCGGCGGTGAGTCCGATTTTGAGCAGGCAACCTGAGGTGCTTGCCACCAGGTGCACCTGTCATGTCGCAGTACAGTTGCATGTCACTACAGATTCGCCGAGATTTGAACTCTCACTGACTCTCTCTTTTCAGTGTCGGCGCATGTGAGGCGCATGTCCCTGAGTCTCTCGCTTCGTGAGCGGTGTCCGTCCGGTGTGCGGTGAGCAGAGCGTATCCAATGTCTGTGTCCTTGAGTGTGACGCCCGTTTCTTGTCGCCTTATTACTGCTGCTGCTGCTGCAGCCAGGGATCTGGCGCCCTGACAACAACACGTGAATGAAGCTTCACAAAACGCATCTCCTCTCCCGGCTTCATTCACAACGCATCCCAGTCCAGATCCTGGAGATCCGTCCCCTCGACTTTCGCGCGGCACACCGGACACACCGCAACAGCAGCGCGCTCCTCCACGCGCTCCCATTCCGCAACGCACGGCTGGCAGCACCAATGACGGCAGGGGCAGAGCTGAACCCACTCGGCACAGCTGCCTCCCCCGCGTTGGCAAATGGGGCACGCCAAGCGCTCCGGGTCGTGCAGCTTCTCCACCACGCCCTCCGACACGAGCTCGCCCACGGGCCCGACCAGCGCGTCGCGCGCTGCGCGTGGCAGACTAAAGCGCCCCGCGTCGTCACGGGCAATGTGCTCGCAGGGCGACAGCGAGTTCTCATGCACGAGAAACTCGCGCAGCGCCGTGAAACCACTCTGCCGCTCCTCGGGCCCGAGCAGCCAGCGCAGCCACGCCACCGCAATCTTCCGACGGTCCGGCGGCCACGCGTCGTACAACTCCACCAGCCAGCGCTGCCACGTCGCCGAGCTCTCCTCCTCCAAGTTGGGGTTCGTGATCTCGGCGAGAAAGTCGAGCAGCGCCGACTGGGCGTCGCGCGTGCGCAGGCGCGCGTAGAAGGCCGCATGATAGCTGTACTCCCCCACCTATTGAAGACAGAGGGGAACCATGGTATAACCGACATTTCTGCGGCTGCCATGCATCCGTGCCGATACAGTGGGGTGTGAATACGTTGAACTCAAGCGTCACACCGGCATCCAAGCGTGTAGAGGGATGTGTGTGTGCCGCATCTAGGCTCCCGACGTACACCAGCGTGTCCTCGCCCGCCGCGGGCTCGTACTCGTACAGGCCCGCCGTTCGCAGCAGCTCGTGCCACTTGTCGATCGCCGCGACGCCCGAGCTCGCCTCCGCGAGGAGGAAGCTGAGCCGCGCCGCGCCCTCGCCTCCGGCGAGAGCCTCCCGAGCGTCGGGTATCAAACAGCCGCCGCGGGTGTCGACCAGGCCCCCAGACTCCCTGGGCGACCCGCCGACAGCGTTGGAGAGGCGCCACGGCGGCACCGCCTGCTCGTATCGCACGACGCCGTCGACGGACACGGCGAGGTCGAGCAGCCACCGAAGCGTCCCGGACGCGTCGCTGCTCGGGTCCGGGTAGACGTCGCGGATGAGCGCGGGCGAGTAGAGCGGCTCGTCGGCGCAGACCACCGCCGCCCGCCGCCAAACCACGAAGTTGCGGAGCACGTGGTACGGCTGGATGGTCTCCGGTAGAAGTAGTGCGAGATCGGCATCGCGCTCTCGGAACGGATCGACCTCCTCAAACACCGTGTCGATGTCGTGCAGCAGCTCGAGGCCCGAGCGCGAGAGCAGGGCGTGCACCTCCTCCGCCGTGAGGACGCCATTGAGCAGCCGCTGCGTCCGCACGCACTCGGGCGCGGGCCAATGACTATAGCAGGCTTGGAGCCAACCGGCGTCGCCGTGTTTGTCGTCACGGATGCACTCGTCGGTGTCCTTCCTCACGAAGACGTAAGTCCCGTCCTTCAGGATCACCTGGTAGGGAGCGCCCCGGGCCTCGAGGTTGGCCGGCCAGACCTGCGTCACCCGCCCCTCCTCCCACAAGGCCGTAGGATGCGGAGGGTGTTGACGGTTGAAGCCCGGGCGCGCCGACCGGTTGCAATAAACGCGTTTGCCCGGGCGGAAGCGGAGCTGCTCGCTGGCGAGTCTCTCCATGTCCGCCTTGTGCACCTCCACATACGCCCGCACTTGAGCCCGGCTGCGCCGGCCCGCCTCCTCTGCGGCCTCCGTCGCCGAGCGAACCGCCTCCCTCCACACCTTGGCGCGCTGGTGATCTTCAGGGCGCACGGCGTCACCCTCGCCGATCACTCCCTCCGCGGCGCGCAGAGAGTACAGCGGCGGGCACCGAGCCGACGCCGCGCTCCGAGGGTCGAGCCGCGGGGCTGGCGGGCGGACAAGGCTGCTCTCGCCGGGGCGGCGCTCCTCGTCGGAGCCGCCGGGAGGCCGGAGCCGCCGAGAGGTCGCCGCTCCTTTCGCCGCCGTGGCCGGCCCGGCCTCGTCGACCTCCATCGCCCCGCCCTCGTCCACCTGCATCGCCTCGCCGCCCGCCTCAGCCTCGGAAGGCGCCTTGGGCGGCGCGGCGGTGGAGCGGGAAGCGGCCGACTGCGCACGTGTGGCGGTGTGTCGGTAAAGGAGGGCGGTTGGCGGTGGGGGGAGAGGGTGGAGAGTGCGGGCGGGGGGTGGAGTGGGGGGGTGCGGGGGGGGGGGGTAGATGTGTGTGCATGCGCCCCCGGGGGGGGGGGGGGGGGGGG